AAAAGCCGCTCTGAAAGAAGATCTTACATCACAAATCATCCTGCTCCTTCTCCCTGATGAACTTTTTACCTATTTCCAGCTTTTACTTATTAGATTTTTCTGACCCTGTGTAACTTTCTCCACTCAGTCAACTCTGTAAAGCTGAGAGTGTCCTTCGCTGCATCCTGTTTCACTGTGACAGCTCTTCCTGCACTTCATTGTCCTATGACGAACTGAGGATGGTACAGTCACTCAGTTACACTGTGAGGGCTTGATGACTGAACTTTCTGCATAATAGCCAACGCACCACTGCTGCTTGGTATTTTAAGAAATTATGACAAACAGTCTTGCAATTTTCTTTATAACCGATGAGGAACTTGCAGTAAAAAAATACCTCCAAGTAAAAGAAAGAAAATGCCGTTTAAGCTTTTACAATAATACTATGGGAGTAAAGGTTTTTTTTATGATTTAAAAAAAGTATTCACCTCTTTTTTTTTATCACTTCTGTTAAATTGTTCAGTTGATCTTTTAAGGAGGAAAAAGTACAGGGTTTTGTTTTTGTTTTTTTACTTATAACTGTTGGTATGTAGCTGAGGTTAGACTGCCGTTTAAGTCAAGGCTGGTTCAAACATCTTTTCCTTCCTGCAAAAGATAATTTAATATTTGCTCAAACTTTCTTGTGTTAGCTGGACTTGTTGCTTGTGAGACTGACTAGTTAACTAAATGCAGTAAAAACAAAGTTATTTTGAAGGCCAAGGACCTCATTTTTACCTAACTTCCGTGTATTCATGGGGTAAAAAGACGTGTTAAAATCAAAGTCTCATCAATGACAAGCAAATCCACTGCGAGTAGGAAAGTCAATTAGTATTTCCGCGGCATTGATAGTACACTAGTCCTGTAGAGAGCAAAATGGTTGGCTGTAATGCAATCCTTAAACCCAGCAGCAGTCATGTAACACATTTTTTTCTCCCTAATCAATCTCTATAAACAGACATGTTTATGCAACAGAGGCAATAGTCTGCTCCTAGATGTTGTTTCTTAATCTCCCACTCAATTCTACCTTCTCAAGTTGACAGTTGGACAGCGAGCAATGTCAACTTACGGAGATGGTCTTGGCCAGATATCCTTTTATTGATGAGCACAACACCTGAGAGTTGGCCATCACTCCCAGATGCTATGAAGTTATGCAAACGGTTTCCAAGACTGGATGTTCTTGAGCACAAATAATGTAAGATTTTGCCTAACAAAAATGTTTTGCGACCTTCAATTTATTATTGTGAAAGTGAACAGAAATGAGAATAATACCATTTTACCCTGGGACATGCAGCTTTACTATCAGTCTTTTGGCACGACATAATTAAAAAATAGAAAACGTAAACCAAATCAGGAATTTATTCTAAAAAAGCCAGACAGAGATGCCATTTTGAACCAACTCATGAAGCTAACATTAGCAAAACCAGCTTGCTAATGTTTGCTGACATTTCTGCTGATCATTTGTAACTGTTGCAGGCTAAGGAGACTAGGCTTACTGGCCCTTAAAACTTAGCCATGATTATCTGTAAACAGAGGTCCCATTCTGCCTCCGCCCGTCCCTGCAGACCCTCACAGGTTAATCACAAGTTCTCCAGGGTCCATTTGGCTGAGCTGGGGACAGATTTATAATTACCACGCTCTGATTTCACACTCTGGGCATGACAAGAGGACAGATCACTCCCCGCCTGGTCGCCTTCATTTTTCTCTTTGTGTAAAAAGGCAGAGTAAAAAAAAGGTGTGCTCTAAAGAGAGAAAGAGAAGGAACGACGAAAAGAGATTCAGCATGTGTGGGAGTGCGTCAGAGATCATCACTCTCGACAGGCCAGGAATTATATTTTCCTCACCAGGATGTTTCCTGCAGCGCTTAATCACCCTTTAAGTTAGCGACACTCAAGAGTCGAGCAGCAGCAATAATCACATCTGTGGAGCGCCTCGTCACGAACACAGACCCCCTGAACGACCCAGAGGAAAGGGTTCAAAACAGCTCCAAATGGCAGGGGAAGGATGGCAGAGGGGGTCAGATTGATTTGGTGGTGTTAGCAGCAGGACAAAGCAAGCTGGGGGTGTTTAAGTCCCATCACTGAACACCTGTCTGCCATGCAGGGAGGGACGGGAAGCAGAAGGCTAGAAAACAGGAGAGAAATGGATCACCGGCTACATCTCATAATGCACCTTCTTGACTTTTTGTTTAGTTTAAGATGCTTTGCTGGCATAAAAGTAGAGAACAATATTACAAAAGCATTAGGATTAAAAAAAAAAAAAAAAAAAAAAGCTTGCACACTCAGTCTTAACACTCTCTCCTGCCCTGATCTCACTGCTGCTCTGCAACATAAATATGATGACACAAACCTCTCCCAGGGAAAATCAAACTCAGCAATGTTTTTTTTTTTTCATTTAAAAGAACAGTTGGCTTTCTTGCTTCTTTTGCAGCGAACAGTAAACTGAAGAACAAAGTGAAGGACGTCACAAGGACATCATTAAGGTCGTTCTTAGTCCTCTTTTTAAGTATCTCAATACTCAATTAAAATTAGATTAACAAGAGGACATGGATTCTTTAACAATCAAATTAAAAGAAATGAAGCCTCCATTGTTATTTATCTTTACCCTCCCAACAATGCTTTGCACCTTTAATTCAGTTTGTTTGCCAGGTGAAGCACCTAAAATGAGCATAAACTCTTTTTGTCCTAATAGGTTAGCAACACATCTTTAAATTTGATATAAATATCTTGTTGGCATTTTGTTATATCCAATTACAAGGAACTATATATCATGTCCAAGCAGAACAACAGATGATTGTGACGTTTCCCTGGAAAACTCACAGATCTATATGTGAGTCTAATGAGTGACAAGGCGGATGTGTTACGCAAACACAGTTCAAAGCAAATAAAACTCAACAGTGTCACATGTTGAGCGAAAGGGGTGATGTCAATATTTGTGATTAGTTGTAACTGTGTTGTACATATTTGCACTCTGTAAGACACCCTGACATACAAACAATGTCTTTGTGTGATGCAGGAATATGTGAGTTTGTTACAAAGCGGGATGAATGCGCAAATGCTGCTTTGATTAAAAGAACATTTTACTGCGTACTTATACGTTTGAAAAAGGAGTAACAATATTCTTCTAGTTCATCTGAAAAAACTGTTGTCACCTTTCCAGCATGAGATTGAGTGCAGGGTTTCAAACTGTAAGCTACCAACGGATGCTTTTTTTGTCTTGAGGGCTTCCTATTTAAATCATGTTTTGAATTATGTAGGCAGAGTTCCTTACCTACTCATTTGTTTATATTAAGCATCCAATTACTTTCGTAAAACTTTAGTAAATGAAGAAAAAAAAAGGTAAAAACTTTAGTATGAGCACCAAAATGTATCTTCTTTTTTCTGCCATTTTTGCCTTTATTGGATAGGACAGCTGAAGCGAGATAGGAAACGTTGAGATGGGGAGAGCGGGGGATGACATGCAGCAAAGGCCAAAGGCCGAACCCGAAACAACGGCCGCTACGACAAGGACAGTAGCCTCTTCACACCCGGCGCCAGACATGACCGCTAGGCTACCGGCAACCAGTCTTGGTTTTTTTAACATTGATACAAGGGGATACTTTAAACATGAATATCCACAAGGCAATCCTGCTAAAAACTGAGGCACCAGAGCAGATGGTTTAAGAATCACTGCTCTGATAAAAAAAAAAAATGATTAAACAGCTTACATAACACAGTGTAACAGTGGGATTACAGACTCCAGAAAATGCAGACGTGACCATACAGTACAGTATGACCTCATGCTTCTTTTTCTGTTTAGCTGAAGCAGTTTCATTGCTGTTTGAGTACTCTGCCATAGGGACATATTTCCCTGCTGACAAGTTTTTTTTTTTGTTTTACTGTAATGCTGCTTTATTATTGCATGCTTCCATGATTTATGAAGGGTGGAATTCCCTTCCTCTGCAGATATGCTCATGCAGAGAAATTGACCCATTTGTCAGAAGCAGCAGAAAACTGATCTGCAGAGTCACAGATGTGTTAAGAATGAATCTGTTGGAGCAGAGAAATAAATAAAGAGGAGCACACAGATAGTAAGGGAGAGGTGACAAGAGTCACAACAGAAGAAGCCAATAGGGAAATTCCATATGTCTGTCTTCATGTCTGATTAGTTTGCAGATAAAGCCAGAGACATGAACCTTAGCTTAGTAGAAAGACTTGTATCACAGGGAAATCAAAACAGCCGGCTTGGCCATCCAAATGTAACCAAACCCATCTGCCACCAGCACCACCAATACTGTACAGAGTATAAATTCAAGGAGTTGCTGTTTATTTTGACCAACCAATATGAGTTTATATGAGCGGTTTAGAACTTCTTCTGTTCCTTTCAGATCAAGAAAAGCTAGCCGTTTCCCCATTTCCGATGCAAAGCTAAGCGAAACGTTAGCTAAGCATTGACTCACTGTCGCTTTATGGTCAGCACGCAAAAAGATATTAGATAAATGTCAGTGTCACGCTCTGCGAAAAAATATATAACATTTCTCATAACCCATAACATTTTGAACAGACGGATATACAACTGGCAGATTATCTTGTACCTATTGTTACTGTCAGACAGTCAGGATAGCTGTTTCTTGGTGTTTCAAGTCTTTAAACTAAGCTAAGGTAAAGATCTGCTTCCTGAAGCGAAAGACTAATTACACACAAAAAAAGCAAATTTAGCAAAATCTTTTACTTTAAAACTATAATCTAATTTGTCCCCTTTTCTGTTTCATTTGCATCTGCGGTTTGTTGTGATGTTTCTCCATTAGTGTTTTTTTTTTTTCAAAGCCCCTCAGCTATGTTTGAAAGAGCCAGCTGTGACACTTTGACACACAGTGATCAGACGACGGCGCCACACACAACACTTGACACAGTTCTTTCTGAAAAGCAGAAATGGAAACATGCAAAGCTTCCGTCTCCGATTCTCACAAGCTTCAAACTCTCGTCATCCCTTTTTTTCTTTATTTACAGAGTTGGGAGGACGTAAGCTGCTGACTGAACTGCGAGCAGACAGCAGGGCCAAGTGCGGAGGAGCAAGTAGACAAGGTGAGTTACGACGAGAGGAAGAGCCACTTTGTTTTCATAATATTACACCATGAGTGGTCGTAGCAGTGGAAAAAAACTCTGCCTGTTGGAAATCGGTGACATTTGTACAGTTTTGTGGGGCAGCTTCTGCAATGTTTGAAAGCAAACATTTTTTTTCAGTTAAGGCCTGTGTCCATCAAAACGCGTTATCTAGCAGTGCCTGTTGGGATGTCACAGTTATCAGCATGGTGACACCATGTGTGACATCTCAGGATGGTATTTTAGGCAGCTGACAGATAGGAAGGAAGGAAACACAAGAGGTTGCATGATACACAAATGAGCAGAGTTTATGGTAAAAGCAGTGGAATTATATCCCAAGGCAAAGAAAGAAACAAGGCAGGAAACAAAATACTTGATCCGTACTATTAAAACCTTTTTGTTGCCTTTAAAGTACCAGCTTTTGAACAGGCACCATCTCCTCACCCCTCCCATTTCAGATATGAAAATGTCAGGCTGGCATTTCCACATGCTCTATTGACAATAAGATGTGTCAAGCTTATGTCATATTTTAAGCAGACAAAATATGTTTCTTCCCAGTGTGTGAACACACACACAAAAAAAGGTTTCATTTAGACTCAACAGAGATCTTAAAATTCTCCTCTTTGGGATATTTATTTGTTGAGGTTTTCAGCAATGCTGGCAGCCCAGTTAGCAAGCTAACATGCTAATTTGAGACAGGGAAACCAGAGAAATATTATAGGTGCTAAATGTGAGCATGTCACCATCACACTACACAGTATGAAAACATGTAGACATTAGCATTTAGCACTAAAAAATGAATTAGAAATATCACAGATGTAAGTGTTGTTCTCTTTGTTTGCACCTATTCAAATTGTTGCATGTCTTTTCCACCATCTGAGTGACATATTGTTTTTTTTGTGCTTGTCAGTATGTTCCTCTCCGCTCTTTTGTTGATATTGTGATTACTACTACTAGTAGCACCGATATGAATGCAAGTTTTCTCAATATAGCACCTTATAGCGGACTCTGTAGCTTACGTTCGCGGCATTTTCCCCCCCATATATTACCTCAGGAGAGATCCACCCCCCCTTCTGATAGGGATAGTCTCCCGCCTGAGGTCTGAACTGCAATATTTCTTAGGAAATAAGTCTTTATTTGAAAAAAATCTGAAATTTAGGTCGCGATTTTTCATAAAGGAGTTGGAAGTTGGAAGTAGAGTTGGAAGTGGGTCCTGAGGCTAGACCAGACTAATTTAAAGCATCTAATCCAGTCAGTTCAGCTCAAACCAGGCTATTGTGTCAGGATGTCTAATTATTTTCTGTAAAGAAAAGGGCTCCTTCTTTTCTTCATAGCAAAACCTTTTAAGAGTTGCATCTCTCAGTTATGAATAGTGATATCATGGCCTGTTTGGTCTCCCCTGAGTGTCTAAACAGTATTATGGCCTCACTACAAAGACACAAAAAAACGCATTTGTACTTCAATCACACCTTTACAGATGATCTGTGACCTATTTTTTTTGAGTGAGTCTGTCAGGGAGATTATGTTTTCTTAAGTATGGGGTGGGTCAGAATCATACTTGGGGGCTTTAATGAATGTCTGAACTCATATGAGTTATTTTTTCCATTATATTTTGGCCTGCTATCTACTATCACCATTAAAACTATATCTATAGACCTCGCAGGTACAAAGAAAAATAATCCTACATTTTGTTTTGATAACTGACGTTAATACCAACAGATTTGTTTTTTGACACCCACCTGAGTTGCATTTGTAAACCATGACCCTAAAAGGTGAACTCCACAGAGTGAGAACATCCAGTATCCCTCAGCTCCGCCAACTGTTAAACATAATGTTTATATCACACGGTTAATACTTAGCACTCTGCTGCAGGTTAAGCTCACACATCCTCTTCAGATTGTCACTTGATTTGACAAGGAGTCCAGATTTTCCTGTTCAGAGGAAATGTTTCAGACCTGAAAATGAGAGAATGTCGTAAATACTCAAGCCTCCAGCAGCTCGCCTGTCGTTAGGTCGACTGGAAGTTAGGCTGAGAAATTATATCCAGCGTGGCAACCGCCACTGACGGGCTTCCAAAGCCCCCAGCAGTAACAGATGAGTGACTTCACTAAGGCTTCATCCATTAATATTTAAAGTCTATGATTCTGACCTCCTGCCATTCAATAAACTGCAACATACCTAAAACATAATCAGATGACAAAAACTTTCCTGTCACCTGTTTCCTGTCATAATGTTTTACAAACACAGGTCTTTACTGTCATTCATTCTGAGTATAAATGCCAAAACAGGATCCAGTAGGTCATATTGTTAAATATGATTATTGGCTGCTTTGTTCCCTTTGTTTAAAAATTGGGGGTTAGGCCTGAGACATAATTTAAAAGACCACGTTATCCTTAGCTCTAAAGAGGCGTGAGACCCAGTTTAAAATTATTTTCTGACATTTTCAATTAAAAACTTATGACATAATTACTTATCGCATGTCACTTTTCAGATATTTATCACAACTCATCAACTTTATCATGTGTCAGCGACAAACAGCTGTAATGAAAGTCTTTGGGATTTGTATTTGCAAGTCTGGCAACAGGATTATGTATTATCATGTAGGGGTTACTATTCTATACATAGCGATTTATTTACATATTGTATACAGGGGGATACGTTGCTTTCTTAATTACTCTACCTGTTTCATAGGCCTGTGTCCTTTGTGTTTACACAAGCAATAAATGCTTCTTCTTATTTTACATTGTTTCTAAGTTACCAGTTAAATATTAAAATAGCTGAGGATAAATTCAAACCATGCCATCTAGTGGTTGGGGTTTTTTAAGAAGAAAGAAAAATATATGTGTGCCACATACTTTGCATGAAAACAATAAACTCTGTACTTTGTTTTTTAATACACATGGATGCAAAATTGCAGTATTCAAATGTATGAATAACAGTTTCTACCTCCAGCAAGTACAGAAGGAAATGTAAAGGTTGTTGCATCATTAGAGTAAAGGAAGGAATCTTGTCAAAAATTGTAAAAAGAAAGAAAAGAGAAAAAGAAAAGCATGCCTATTCACATATTTTTTTTAAATTAAACTAGAATTCTTCGTTTGCATTAACTCTGATAAGCTATCAAACGCAAATCAATCTGTTTATTATGTGACACTTACAAACTCTGGAAGTCATGAACCTGTACCGGTTTTAAATAATGATTAGGTCATGGGGATGGGGGTCAGTGTGACATCGGAAATTCTCACATCAGTTCACCGGTCTGCAGGTGTACCACTGTGGGCCATCAATATTCATGCTCAGCTTCAGCACCTTGCTGAGATCAGTCTTAACCCCACACTGAGTCACACAGCAGCGCAAACAGACGGATGAAGGAGGGGAGGCACAGGGAAGATTGATCACACAGCAAGGATGACGCTGTTTCAGGGCTCCCACAGCTTGATCCGTTTAATCAAAGAGGTTATAAAGACAGAGGAGCATCTGAGGACGCGGAACTTAAACTGTGCAATGATACACTCAAATTTAAGGAAAAACCAGAATGAGAAATAATTCATTCATGTTAAAAATCCTAATGAATGGTTTAATGAGGATAAAAGGATGTGAATTAAATGCTACGACCTTCACATCAACAATACCTTAAATGAAAAGATAGCCATATTGTTGATTGTTGTTCACCATCATCAAAACGTTTAGGAGAATTATGTCGATGCCTCCATTTAATTTTGCAGTTTGGAGACTGAGGAAGACCTGATAACAACTAGAGGTGAACTATTCACTGTGGATGCAATGGATTCAATGATCGACGATTCAAAAGTTTAAACAATTATGCAATTTTTGTATTTTTGCTTTGTTAAGAAAAAAATGTTTTTTGGCTAACATTATGGAGGAGATATGTAAACAAACTGTCAAGTCCTACATTGGTTTTTTTTTTGTGAACACAAAACTGCTGTTATTGTGATTTTAAAAATTACTATTGAAATCTACAAAGTGTCTTCTTCATGTATTCTGGCACGTTAATGTGACATACAGTATCAGTCAAATGTTTGGACACACCTGACTGAAATGCATCTTGTTATTTTTATCTTAAAGACATTAATGTGTGACATGTGTTTCTTATATAAATATAAATAGTGAAGTTGATGCTCACATATTTCCAAAACAGAAGTGAAATAAAATGTTTTATTTTTATTGTTTTAATATCTACTATTTTTCTAAAATGTGGAAAATAGTACAAATAAAGAAAAACCCCTTCAATCAGTATGTGTGCCCTAGATACAGCTTACAGTAGCTATAATATCGTAATATAGTATACTGTATTATTGATAATACTGTTACTGTGATAAAACGTTTGACTGGTTGTGTATAAGCTCAAACATATCGGTCGTCTTCACAGGGGAACAGATGGAAACCATGAAATGTGAACACACCAGTGATAAAACAGTTTTACATTGATAGAAATGCAAATAAAATTGCTGCTGGAGCTTTTTAACATCTGCTGTTTTATGAGGCAACCTTTGTTACCATGGCTCAAATAATACATTTCTAGATTTTAAATCCATCACATGATGCAGAGTGTAAACACTGTGCCCTTGGGTGACACAGGGACCGAAATGTAACGCTAAGTATACGAGTAGGCTTTCAGAAAACCACAATTACAAATTATAAATCTGTCTTTCTTTTCTTATGCCAGCAATGTTAGTTATCCTTTTATCTATTTTAAATATAAATCTGGACAAAGCACTGCCCCCTCACCCTCCTCCCACCTTCCCTGCCTCCCCCTCACTGTCATGAGCTGCCTAGCAACTGACACGATAAACAATAAGCCTGTACATGCATGTGTGTGTATCCTCAGGAATGTGAACAGGCTATCTGTTGCGAGCACTTCACTGTGCATGCCTTCTTTATGATAGTACTTGTCTTAATCAGCGGCCCGTTGCTTGAGCTACAATGTTTGAGGTGCTTAAATGACTTTCTCCTCCATGCAGGCAAAGCACACAAGACGTGACTGACAGCGCCAATGGCGAGCAATAACACAGCCAGCATCGCTCAGGCCAGGAAGCTGGTGGAACAGCTAAAAATGGAGGCCAACATCGACAGGATAAAGGTGTGCAGTAGATAAACTTTCAGGATAGAGGTGGTGGTTTAGTAGGTAAAGGTTGTTGAAGTTGAAGTATAGGATTTTATTTAAGCTTGAATATTGTAGACACATTTTTTTCTGAATGCTTTATGAAAACAAAACCTCAATGTTTTCTCTTCGCCCTCTGTTTTCTCTGCATATGTGTGTGTCTGTTTCCTACCAGGTATCCAAAGCAGCGGCAGACTTAATGTCGTACTGCGAAGCCCACGCCAAAGAGGACCCTCTGTTATCGCCCGTGCCAGCGTCAGAGAACCCTTTCAGGGAGAAGAAGTTCTTCTGTGCCATCCTGTAAACACAACAACATGGCCCTTCAGCAGTCTGCTCAGTGTGGGACTTTGAACGCGGATGTTCAAAAATACGTAGAAAACTTCTAGTTGGAGGGCATGTCGATTATTGCCCTCCTTTTTTCGAACGGCACCTGAAACCCGCAGAGTTTACATGTAACCATTTAAAGGGGTTTTGATTGCTTTTTTGACGGGTGTTGCAGCATGTTGAAGGGGGTCTGTGCTTTTAGATGACACAAAAGGGATGATGATGGTGATGAGGAGGAGTATGACAACTTATGGACAGCCTACCAAGTCTTCAGGTTGTGATGTGTACAAAGGTGAAAAAAAAAAAAAAAAAAAAAAAAAAAAAAAGCTAAAATGAGAATAAAAATATTTTGTGGTTCTTCTGGGACTTCCACATGTTATGTTGATAAATGGCTTGTGGGTGTGTCGAGCATTGTGGGACAGCAAACGAAAATATACCTACCGCTAGACGCCACCTGATTATTGGAAAGTTTTTATGAGTTGTTTATTTTATGTTTATTTCAACTTTACCTTTCATCTAAATAACTTTCTATAACTGTACGTGATAACTGAACGAGCTCTGTTTTCTTCTTTTTTTCTTACACAAGCAGGTTGGTGATCGCTTTTTTTAATGGGATGTTTGAAACAGTCTACTCTGTGATTCTCTTTACAATTACATGTGTGAAAATAAGTCTCTTGTGTATCAACATCTATCTGGCAAATGTGATGCAGTTTGTCCCCTTCAGATACAAACCCTCTTTCTACTATTTGTATAAAATGAATAGCAAGTAAACTGTGCTGTGCTGTGAGTTCTGAATGTTTGTGTTTGTATCATTACCTATTGCATGAAATGAACAGACAGTCTACTTCTCTATTTCCTTTCATGTGGACATTGTATGAAACCGGGGCAGCCTTCAGCTGGAAGTTCCAAAATGAATTAAAACAATGAATGATTCAACAAGGATATCTCTCAGATATAAATCACTCATAATCTCAAGCTGTGCATAGGCATTATATTTTTGTACTGATTCAGTGGGTAAGACATTGACAATATATATACATTGAGAGGAAAACCGAAAAAAAGTATAGTTAAACTTCTAAGTAAATTTGTTCCCTTTGATTATTTGACAGACAAAATTATTTCATACATGTTCAAACTCCTAGTTGAAGCTGTAATGCAGAACTGAGGCAGTACATTTATTATATGGTTATAGCTTTAATCCAAAAGGAAAATAAACTTTAAATGATAAACCCTGCAATACACACTGACTTATATCGCTCTTAAAAAAACTTTCTAACCATCCAAAAGATTTTTAAAAAAAAAAAGAGTCTGGCATTGCTAAGATGTTGTTTGAACAGTTTAGGTCTGTTAAACGGGTGTGAGCAGTTTCAGAAGAGTATTTAGAAAGAACATGACTTCATTGCAACAGATGTTGTTATGACCTCCACAAATCTAATTTGAAACTGCATGTCTGACATAAATTAATCTGAAATTATGGGTCATTTTAAGTGTCACAGAAAAGATCAATATCATATACGACAGCTAAAAGTGTACAAATAAAGGCCTTTCTGATCAGAATATGGTTTACAGCTTAAAAAGTATAAAATAAAAAGAATTTGCCAAAGTACATGTGTGAGAAACATGTGTCAGTGTGTATGCCCGGGGTTCATAAAATTAAAGAAAGTAAGATTATAAATCTACTTGGACAAAGAAGTCCATCCAATAAGTGTATCTAACAAACAATGATGAATGAGGGCTTTAAAAACAGTGATGAACCTCAGAGCTGCATGATACACATTGTTCAGCAGATCATGTAAGCTTTGAGAGGAAACATGTAGGTATAAAACATCACTACAGTCCAGCACAGACACTTTGTGATAGTTAGGTTGCCCCCCTGAATTGTGCTTAAACCTCCACCTCCAGTGAAGACTGCAACTCGAAAGTGATAAGTCAATCCTTGGGTCAAATCGCAATTGAGACAAGATAACTGTGCTGATTCAAAAATTAACATAATATCGTGGATTAAAATCGCTTTATAAAAATCGGTAAAATATAAATTTAACATTCCTTTAGAACAACACTAGGGGAAAAAATGTATTGTCAGAAGTGGGATTCGAACCCACGCCTCCAGGGGAGACTGCGACCTGAACGCAGCGCCTTAGACCGCTCGGCCATCCTGACATACGAATCAGGGATCATACAGTACTTAAATAAAGTTTAAACACTGTACAGTATGCTTATCAATATCTCAGACTATTTATATATTATTTCAGATTAAATTCCTAAAATCTGAACATTTAAGGAGCCATTAGAGCGATTATTTACCCCCGATGATTTGCTGTTATTTATCTAAAAATGCATCATAGTTCCTGTTAGTTGCAGCCATATTGTTTACAGTCAATGCTTACAGTTAGCTGAAGTTAGTTTCAGACTGGTAGCTCCCACTAAGGCTGTTAACGGGAAACAACTTAACATATACGATGTCCACAAAGCACGTTTGACTTTCAGTGAAACCTTTTATGTTTTCTACTATTTCTCTAATGGCAAAAAAAAACAAGAGTTCAAACTAGTCTAACACATGCAAACCACAGCGAGTCAGGTCGAAACCCACGATACCTACACTGGTAAAATATGATCTAGATATTCAACAGAGGCAGAGACTCTTGAAAAGATCAGTCCTGCTTTCTAAATCATTGATTCTAGGCACAAGCATTTTAACATGCATCTTAAAAAAAACAATTTGTTAGTGTGTGTGTGTGTGTGTGTGTGTGTGTGTGTGTGTGTGTGTGGGGGGGGGGGGTAATTTATGGAGTAAATATGCTAATGCAATTAATCAATCTTGTCGTTGATTGTGTACAAAAAATATAAATTGGAACAAAACCATCTCGAAAAGAAATTTTCAATTACTCGTCCGGATTTTTTAAAACTAAATTCCTGCACTTTTGTAAAATGTTATTGTGTGCACACGTTTTTACCTTGTGCGCACTCCGGTGTGTGAAACCAATATATAATATGCAATCATCCAAGAAGCACTTGAACGCACCACACCTCCACCAAATCTCCAATGTGAAGCCAACTTCACAGCGTCGCCAGTGCCCCATCTAGCACAACAGTAGCTGGTGTAGGTTGTATGTAACAGCGGTGTCTTCTGTCACTGTATAAAACTGTAGGTAGTTAACAAGCATGTTAAAGTAAAGTTAGGGGTTTTTCTCATTAATCTCTGCTAGCACGAAGTTTAGAAATTATCTTGAGGTAGTTTAGGGAGACGGTAAGTGAAGCGTGTAGTTCATGAGAGTGAGCTTTTACACTTCATGTAAAAATAGGTTGAGGCTTGAGGGGCCTTCACGGTGCATTTTTTTTTTACACACGGCTTTTATCATGTCAAATGTGCACTGCTATGAAACTAATCCTCCTTTTCATGCTCTGAACTATGTAGCTCCACCTGTTTGCTGAGGGTTGGTTTCGACAAATAGCCTGACACTGTCAAAAACTGTCTGCATCTCACTCCTACACTGAGTGTTTGCTTTAATTGCAATTTCTCACGGTCTCTAAAGCCAATTTACCTGCACATTCATCTTATTTTAAAGGTAATATTAATAGTAAGTGCTTGCTACCAATTACCAAATGTCTTTGCTTTTATTTGTATGTTCAATATTGTTGTAGCCAGAGATATATAATGGGGTTTTTTTTAGCATACATTAACAAGATATGAGTTCACCTTTTGAGAGAACATATCTAAAATAACTTTAGTCTAACACAGGATACTTAAAACAACAACCAAGTGTAAAGTAATTATATAATGCAAGCAAATAAACTGGCTTAATTTGACTCTTTCTTTTCTCCTTTCAGTCTGAAAAGCATGGCCTCCATGTCTCCAAACAATTTCTCCTGGGTTGAACCGGGCAAGTTGGCCGGATTGGCACTACCCAGAATGACTTCTGATTACCAGTACCTGCTGGACAACGGTATAAAACACCTGGTTTGCCTGTGTGAGAGAAAACCACCCTACCATGACACGTGTCCAGATTTACAGCTGCACCATATCAAGATCGCAGACTTTACCCCACCGTCACCGAGTCAGATTGACAGATTTCTCTCCATTGTTGAAGAGGCCAACACCAAGGGGGAGGTAAGCGCTGAGATAGTTGATAGTCTGTGTTCAATGGAGGGTTAGGCTTTTAAAAAAAAAGCATTTCCAAGACTACCTAGAGTTGAACCTAGATGTGGCTCACACTGTAACTTACTACTTTTGACTTTGATGACACTCCTGGAATAGTTGTAAGGAAAATCTCTTTCACAATTCTGCAGCTCATCCAAAGTGCAGGAATCATGAAGAAAAAACGCTTTGTCAGAGTTTAGGTTTCTTACTATGCATACAGTTTTTAAATTCAAGCTCAGTGTGATGTTTACTCTTTCTGATTGTCTTTTTTTTTTTTTTGCGTTGTCAGACAGAATTGGTGTTCCTAGATTTGGTCACAACAGGTGCTTGCAAAAAATAGTGTTGCACATTTCTGATCAGAAAATTGAAAATTTGCTCTTTCAAGACAAAATACAAAAACCCCAAGGTGCTATAGTTTCAAGATGCAACACCAGTGAGGAGGAGCACATCACTGGATCACTCTCGCAACCATTAATCCCAGTATGGTCTTACGAAAACAACTATGGTCAGAGATCATGTTTTCATACATCCACTAAAATCTGGATTGAGATCCTATATTATATCAGGACAACAACTGATTTAACTTGTATCTGTTCATTTCATTTATGCTCCCTCTAAATGTTGCTGATCCGTTTGCTGTTTTGTGTTTCTGGCTTTGTCCGTTGTCTCATGTGATCTTTGTTGTTTATGTGCTGGAGAACAGGAAGCTTCTGTGAACCATTTTCAACTCAGTCAGGCCTGCTTTACTTTTGTGATGGTACTTCTTTATCTGTTCCTGAAAGTAAATGTAATGAAAAGGAGATGTTTTCAAATGACTTGCTCTTTCCAGTAAGCAGTCTGAAACATATCCAGTTTAATATCACTCTAGACATGTTTAAAAATATTTATACTACTTATTAACATTTCTATTATTTAACTCCTGATATAGAAAATCTTGAAAACCCACCTGTTCAACTCCACTTCTGGACTTGGTTAAATCAAGTTGTCTTTTATTGTGAGCTGATATATAAATACAAGCTATCATTTATTATTTATTCTAATTATTCATTTGTGGTCGTCGTTTCATTAATCATCTGACTGCATGATGTCTGCTTGCAATAACAAAACGCCAGCTCTGTCTCATAACATGACTAATGCGGGATGTTTCTGCTGCGTAGCCGATGACTTCACTAAACAAACATTGTGTTGTTCCTCTTCAGGGCGTGGGAGTTCACTGCATGCACGGCCATGGCAGAACAGGGACCATGCTGGCCTGCTACCTGGTGAAGACGAGGAAGATATCGGGGATCGACGCCATCAACGAGATCCGCAGGATGCGCAAAGGCTCGATCGAAACCCACGATCAGGAGAAAGCTGTGGTCCAGTTTTATCAGCGCACTAAGTAGCTTTCTCAGTTAAGAAGCACACAGTCATCTGATTTGACATATAAGCTTGAAATGAGAAGAAAAAGTGTCCTGACTACTTTGCTAATGTCCAACTTTATTAACTAATAGAAGAGTAAATTCCAAAGAGCTGACAAATGAAAACGCTGAATGTTCTGGAGAGCAATGCACACACAGAAACCACAGAATGTTGCTGTGACATTTCAGTATGACAAAAGTTAGAAATACATCTACATGTCCAAGCTGCCTTTTTTACATGCTACTATATATTTTACACTTTCACCAGCATATCATTTCAAGGCTTTAAAAGGGCCGATCCAACAAGAACAAAAAGTACAACAATAACTATACAAGCATCACTTAAAAATAGTTCTGACTCAAGTCACCTGTAGGTGGCAAAAATGTAATTTTGATCAACAGATTGAACAACAGAAATACTGACAGCCAACCAATAATCTACCAGAAGTTAGTGGGCAGTGGGCATCACATTTCAAATCATAATTTTACTTGAGACACGCTGCCAAACAGTTTTTAATGCTGACGGGTTTCTGGAATTTGTTGTGTCCATACTTACCTTTTTAACAGTCACCATGATGCCATCAACAGTGTGGATCTCATAGTGTCATATCTATCATTCTAGTTATTATTCTTGTGTGTTGCCGTGGGCAGCGCTCGAACCTTCCTTTATACACTGGGCACGAGGGAAAACAGACGCTGACGCTCCTTGAACGTGAGCTTTTCTGGAGCTGATGCCCTCCTGGTTTTCTCCTCCTGGTTCCTGTGAACAAACGAGTGCTTGAATTGTGAATACTTAAAAACCTTTTGGGACGCAAACCGTAGGCTGTTCTGTTGTAAAATATATTTACAGAGAACAGATTTATTTCACTCAGGGATCTTACAAACTCTTTTATAAAAGTGTGATCAAAGTTGATTTTGTTTTCGGTTGTTTTGCTTCGACAGTTTAAAACTCACTCTCTTGATGCAACGGTGTGCAAGTCATTAGTCCGTCCGCTTGATTTCTGATCTGCCAGAAACATGTAAATGTTAAAATGTGCATAGCAAAGTAAACTGTCTGATGAGCTCCAAGTATTTGAAATAAAGAAAACTGAAAGCAAATTCTACATGTCTGTCTTACCAAGCTTCACTTGGTCTTCCTTTTGGGACAGATGAGTTCCTGCGTGCTTTTTGAACTCTTTAAGTTCAGTGTTCATGTTCCCAGCAGAGCCTCTCCTGTTCTGAAGACGGGGGGAAAAAAAAAGAATTCAAGATCATTTATTTTATTTATTTATTTATTTAAACATATCTAGACAGAAAAATACTATGTACTCCACCTTCCCTTAAAAAGTGGAAGCCATATCAATAAGACATTTTAGCTTAAAGAGTCGGAATATTTGTAAATGATCACTAAGTCCTTTCTGTAAACACTAGAATACACTACGATAAAGAAGTGCTGACTTGTGGTAAATAGTTTTTCCAATGTTTTCATCTGAAGGTGAAGTTAACATGATTTATTATCCGTAAGTGGTTCTCAATAGGCGGGCCAGAACCCAAAAGAGGGTTGTGGGTGTGTACCTGGAAATTGTTTAGTCAAAAATCCTACCAAGCTTTAAGAGACTTTGTTATTTTACATGTACAAACTGAGGTCCAAACTTGACCACTTTCTATTAAATCAACCTGATTAGGGGGGAGGTGCAGATGACCTAGTCGTTAGGTCGTGGCACATGTACGGAGGCCAAAAATTCTACTTTAGTAGTAGTCTAATTTACACCCTCACCTGTGTCCTCGTATCCAGCTGCTGTATCGTCACCATCATGTCCAAATCCTCGTCGTCCTCCTCCTCCTCCTCTGCTCTCTGCTGAATCTCCTGCAGCCTCTTCTGAAACTGGCACTCCAGGCTGAGCTTCCTGAGCCGGTCGTTCTCCTCCGCTGAGAGCTTTACTTTCCCCTGAAGCTCCTGCACCTCTCGCTGCAGGAGCTCCACCGCCTGAAGCCTCTGATGCTTCTCCAGTTTCTCCTGGGCCTCCCTCCTCCACGGGTCAGACAGCCCTTGGGGGTCTTTCTGCTTGGTGCGACTCTGCTTCTGCTGGGTGGGAGGTTCTTGGAAGGAGACGTGTTTTGTTGGAGGGATGCTTACTTGTGGTTTTGCTGCAGGATCTCTGTGTGAAGTGGATCTTTGCTGCTGCGGGACAAGTGACAGCTGAGGTAGCTTCTTGATAGCGGGGACGGGACATGCATGAATAGGATTAGCTGGGTTTTGAGGACTCTTCCCATTAACTTTGAGAGTTTGGCACATCTTCAGTGCCACTAAAGAAGAACTCTGGAAGGTGGTCAGTAGAGGATTTGTGTGTGTGTTCACAGCTCTGGTCACGGGGATGTCAATACGTATTGGCTGGATTGAAGGTGTATGTGTTTGGTTTTGGGAAAAAGGAGTTCTCCAAACACCGGCGCTGCTTGTGCGGCTCCCCTGCTGTTGTTTAGTAGGAGATGAACTCACTGAGAGGATGTCATTTGTAGAAACACTTGAACGGATTGGGAAAGATGAATAGTGGCTCATGGTTTGCTTTGCACGTTGCTCCTTCTGATCCAACAAGTTCTGCCTTTCGTCCAGCAGGGGGCCTCCACGGTCCATACACAAGTTTTCCTGGGACAGAGCTTGGCGCTAGAAGAGAACAATTTTTGTTTAGTATAGTTTTTGTGCTAGTGTAGCGACTGTGCCATCATGGATGTCAAAACTTCATGGCATCATTGAAAATAAAGTTTAGAGTTTAAGTTTAAACTTTTAAACGCCTCTTGATTCCATCTGTGAAGGGCTGAAGCACAAAAGTTTTCTTCTACTTTGCCTCTCAATTAGACTTAGTTAAAGTAATGAAGTAAATGTTCTTTCTGAACATTAAGTTGACTCTGATGATGATATGATCACCAAGGGATTGATTCAGTGCCAGAGTATTTAACAGACACTCACCATGAAGGTTCTGTTACTTGAACTCTGTCCATCTAAAGGCTTCAAAGACACTTTGAATGGTTGCTGCTGTCGCCCAGATTCAGACATATTCTTCTCCTGGGATTTAGGGTTTGGCAGTGTCAAGTATTCCCTGTGATGGGTCTGAAAACAGACACAAAAAGGTAACAAAAGTTTTTTTTTTTTTGTTTTTTTTTTTAACACATTACATTAAGTTAAAAACAGTTCCTTGTGTTACTCATACGCCATCTATTTTCATTTTTTAAATGTTGCTGACATTTTCTCTCATCATAGTGATTTAACTTTTTTTTTTTTAAACAATACATTCCAAGCATTAATCAAATACAAAATAACTTACATCAGTAGAAAGGTTGATACTGGAAACAGCAGTGATGTTGTTCCCTCTTACCACAGGGTCACCAGTTTCATCTCCCTCCCCTGGGGCAAAGTCTATGAAAACAAGCAGTGAATTAATACTCTGTGGATGTGCTAATGACTTGCCCTCAAGTATGTAACATAATTAATTTAGTAAATCTGATAAAAATAGAAAATCACCCACTGGTCATGTTGGGGTTGGAGCGATAAAGTTGTCTGTTTCTCTGCATCATCTGCTCCCTTTTTCTTTTGCTGCTTCCATGCAGCATTTCTGAGGGTCCAGGATCGCCAACGTAGTACAGCTCATGTGATTTACTGTTTGGGACAGCATAAGTCTCATTGCCTTGAGAAGGAAGAAAAGGTCTAAATTAGTTCCAGAAGAGCAGACAGCGGAAAAAAAAAAAAAAAAGACAATTTATTTTTATCAACCTTTAGTCTCACTCAGCAGAGCCCCCAGGCCGTGGTAGCTCGCCCCAAACTTTGCAACTTTGAGGGTCACAACAGGGCCAGTTTGCATCATGATAGCTGCTGCCCTAAATCAATAAAAGAATACAAATGTTATTTCTCAGTTTAATGGCTTGTTAAACTGTTAGTGAAGCAAACTTGTCTATGTTTTTCCAAACATTTAGAGGACTGTAAAGCCTTTGTCTCATACTTTTTCTTAGATTATCTTCGTCTGAGAGGAGAAACAAACAACTCTTTCATGTTGAATGAGCTGCGAGAGAAGCCGCAGCAAAAAAAAAAAAAATAGATTCATGGCATTATCTGTGGAGGAAGTACTTTGCATTTGACATAGTAAATGTCTATTTGGGGCAATAAATGCACATACAAAATGACATGGCAATGCAACCTTAAGTTACAGATTTATGTAATTCTGGGCTACAGTGGTGAGATGACTAATTCAAAGGTGAAGAAAGCAAACATAGCCCTTCTTCCTGGCAGCTGTAAAGCAGCATGATATGTAGCAGCTACCTCTCTTGGCTGATGCCAACCAGACTCTGACCATCCACACTCAGCAGCTGATCCCCAGCTGTTAACCTGCCATTCTGCAAAAGGTGGAGACAAAAGATATTAATCCCGTTAAATTCTCCGTATGTCATGCTGAATTAAAATGTTCAGAACTCACAATTTCAGCCGGTCCTCCTTTGACAATCGACTTGATATAGATGCCGAGGTTACCTAGCCCTGCTCCCTGAAGCAAAACAAGAGGAAGGGTATAAACTAAGATGAACATTAAGCAGAAAGTTCTGTTGTTAGAAAAGTTCCAGTTTGTGAATGCATCAGCGTTAGTGTAAAATATTGACATTGAAGGGAGTCACCTTGGCAGCAACAATGCTGACCCCCATACCACTGTTCAGAGGTTTGTTCAGAGTAATAGTTACGATCTCTGGCTCTCTGTGTGCTGCCTGTTAAAGGAAATATGTTTAATTATAACATTGGTTTATTTGATGTGTGTGTTTGTTATTTATCTGGATCAACAAAGCAGTCTGTGTTTTACTTACCAAGTGTGTGCTCTCCTCAGAGGAGGGTAGTTCACAGAAGTACACAGTCCAATCACCTTTAGAGGTTGGCTGGGACATCAAAGAGCAGAGACCTGAATGAGAAGGATGTCAATACAAATTACAAACCAGTTGTACGTGTTATTTTGGATGCAATAACTGGTACTTTACTGTATTCACATTTTGGAAATACAACAAAAATCCCATACCTTTCCGGCAAATTGGCTCCAAAAATTCCCTTAATCCTGCAGGGATTCCTCTCAAGGTGTCACAGGAGTATCCTCCCTCCGGCAGCAGGAAGGGCAGGTGAAGGTCGAGGCACTCCTCCAAATGGATGTCCCGTCCTTCACTCCGAATCATATCATCTGCTGAGGCCTCTGCGGCCGTCACTACAGCATCGATCAAATCCTGCAGCGAGGGTGACAAGAAGATCAGACGGCAGATATATTTCAGGAAAAGGTTGTTCTAGTGTATGGATTGGCATTTGTCATTCCATGACAAGGCTTCAGGGAAGGACATCCAATCTGGCTTGCTGTGATCTTGAGCAACATACTGAGGAATTTACTGCAGATGACCCTGACTGCTGACCTTTCTGAAAAAATTAAAGTAGCCTGCTTTTCATTGATTTATTTCAACTATTTTCTTTGCACATTAAGTTTTAGCATGTAAAACTTAAAATAACCTAAAAGAAAAAGGCCAAATGCACTGTTATTAATTAAAGTATCGAACATTCACTGTTATTAATAAAAGTATTGACATACACTGGACTTTAAAGAACAGTAATGATATAGCCTACGTAATCAAAAATAAGTACTTAATACTTAAATAAGACTTAAATATTTTAAAGTTATTGGATATTTCAAAATAGACAGCTTTAGCTAAATATGATTTGTGACTAATTATTTCTTCCCTATTTAACTAAAGTATACTTCCTTTTAACAAAGCAGTTGTTTACATATTGAAAGATAAGTAGTGCAACTCTATGTAGTAGTATCTAGAAATATAAGGTTGTAGTTGAGGCAGTAGTAGGCTAACTTAACTTTTGGGTTTTAGCACCCATAAGCAGCTGAAGTGTTGTTGCAGCAGACTAATAGCAGATAGTTAAGGTAATGGTAACAGGAAAAGGAGACTTATCTCTGAGGTCAATGGCGGGATATTTAAATAATTTTATTTGCGCTGGCTCTTAACCATTGACTATAAATATTAACTCTTAACTGATTGGCTACGATTTGTGCTTTTACGCTTTGTCTAGGAAGCAAATAAGTGAAAATTACTAAAATGTCTTGCTGTGGCTTAGCTATATATTTATTTATTTTCATTTTTGTTAAGACACTAGTCAAAGTCTTATAAAGTCCTGACAGTTGCATGATAATGCTACTTTGCTTTATACATTTGCCTATTTGGACATTGAATTCTACTATATTTTCTTGTGAATATAGTTATATCTAGAATCTCATACCTTCACTTAAGTGAACACAAGTCTGTCTTATAAAGTTGTTCTTTAAACTACAATTATTACTGGAGCTTTTTGATCTCTTCAAGGCCCATTCCCCAAATAATCCCTGTCTAATATTGGCTTAATGGGAAGCATGACTTTGCTCTTGTCACTATTGGGTTGGTTTTCAAGTTTCCTTCACACACCTCAAAATCAGCACAATATTGAAGAAGTATTTCATTCATAAGCTATGGCTTATGTGACAGTTCACTTTACTATTCTTCATTTATAATTCATTATCATATTCATGTTCATTCATTATTCATGTTATTAAATCTATACCGCAGAGCTATGTTCTGTGGTTGAGGCTGCTGCTACATTTATGCACACATCACTCTTTTTACACATAAAAGCCATAGTTATTGGATGTAGGATCAATTAAAAACACATTGGAAGTGTTTGTCCCTAAAGGTAGCACTGTAGTTGTAGTTTCGAGAAGGGAAAACAACAGACGTATCACAGGAGTGGAAATACAGACAAGAAGTATACTTACAGGAGGGATGTGAGGCTCATTGGTTGCATAGAGGTAGCCAGCTAGCAAAGTCTTCAACTGAAGTGAGTTCAGCTTAAAGCAGGTGCTCTGGATGTCCTTCACGTCTTGCATTGTGTACTTATTCATAGTCAGGAGCATGGTTGCCTAGTAACAGCCAGGAAATGCTATTTTTTAACACCGTGTACAAACAGGTACATGGATGGGCTCTAAAGATGAAACCTTCAAAGCTTAAACATTTCAATAAATGTGATGTCCTACAAAGAAGTTCAGAGTGAAAATCAGGTTCAGGTTTTACTCATGACATATGTTATGACAACATATCTAATAAAATCTGTTTTCCAACCATTGTTTTACTTATATTCAGACATGTGAGGGCTTGATGGGACCGACCTGGATTATGTGGCCAAGGTGGCAGTCAGCAGCCAGTTCCAGGCCCTGCCTCTCCGCCCAGGCTTCGATGGCTGTGAGCCTCTGGCGAAGAGCAGCTCCCCAGTAGTGGGAGCGCAGGCTCGGAGTGTTGTGCCCTTGGTTCATCAGCTGGTTGAAGAGCCAGGCACTGATGAAGTGGAAGAGTTGGGAAAAGAGCTGGATGGTGAAGGCGGGGTTGACCCGACAGCGACGTAAAAGAGACATGGTGTTCATCATGGTGTTCAGCACCATTTCTGCAAAGGTCAAAAGTTAAAGTTAAAAGTTTATATTCTTTGAACAGGAAGGCAAAATGCAATATTACAGCTCTTTACAGTTAATTATGTGGTTTATTAAGATTTACCTATACCAGCAGGCAGTCTGCCGTGTTGTTCTGGATCGATTAAAAAAGTTGGTAAATGCTTCCTTAACTCATTCTGCAGACACTGTAACAGGAACCTGGGGAAATAAAATACACCTCAAACCAAAAACACATTATGCTTAACATAATAGTGGACTGTGTGATTATTTACATTGTTGAATACTCTATCGATTATGTTTACAATGTTTGATTGGTTGTTTGGTCTATTTAATGCCAGAAAAGAACACCAAGAAAATGGGCCCCTTTAAATAACTAATTTGCCATTTCTACATGACAACTTCTGCTCTGTTGTAGCAAGATATCCTCCCAAAATAAGCTAATACCAATGTATGTGTCATGAGTGAATTATGGGCTGTTATATAAACACATAAAGTAATGCAAAGGAAAAAAAGCACATTAAAGTAACACACTGCTGATGTGCTTTTCTATATTATAGTGTTGATTTGCGATCGCAGGGTTATTACAGTGGTTAAGAAGCTATTTTTGAGTTGTTGAGTTGATGAAGTTGATTGTTTTGTTGGTAACTGATATGTGGTGCACCAAAAGGTAAAAATACTTTTATAAAAAGAGCTGGTCAAGCAGCATGGTAACACCTTATTTCAGCTGTACTTTATCTGTACGTTTATGGTGACTCGTGGAGGACAGTGTTGAGCATGTCTCGGTTTGTATTCAAAAATAACTGAATTCTTTGTGGTCTCCTCTGTACCTGTAAGCTTTATGCACCAGGTGGGAAAGATCCACCTGACTGTGCTGGGTAAGTGAGGTAAGGTCTTTGTCATTCTTGAGAAGTTCAGTAGCTCAGAGGTGTTGGACATCCAGAAGGCGAGAGCACCAGCGATGGTCTGCTGTCTCTGCAAAGTATATTAAACAGCAAATACATTTAAACACCTGAAAGAGTTGGCTTTGATTACTTATTACTTTTGAACACTGGATATAAGTCTCTTTTGGTATGATATCGCAAGAGAGCAGCCTTTCGTTTAGTTAGATTTACGATTTCCTTATAATCTGAGTCTTATATTCAGTGCATACATATGTAACAAAAGTCAGGGGTTTATTTGACTTGCCTGGATGACTTTCCTTGTCATGGCCACTATTTTGCTTGTGACAGAGGTTACACTTTGTGACGGGTTAGAGCTTCTGCTGTGACATCTCTGCAGAGCAAAACGCCCTGCTGCATAGAGGACGTATGCAGGCGAGAGCTTGAAATGAACTGTGGAACTGTTGGTGTAATTTATGACTGCAGACAGGAAGGCTTCCTCAGCTGTAATGCAAACACACCAGCAGGGGGCAGGGGGGCATTGTGAGAATGAAGAAAAGTGAGCTTAAAACTGACAAGTATAAAACTGGAAGAAAATATACTCACAGTTATCACAGAATTTGATTCCTACTGGCAATCCAGGTTGATCTGGATGAAAACCTCTTGTATGCTTTGCTCCTGTATTTTATGAAAGAAAAGTCATCAGACACCCTATTTATGCTTGTATTAATGGAAGCAATTGGTAACGTCTGTACTGAATCATGCCTCTGATTTCTTAAATATTTAAAAATCTTTTAATCTTGTACAGCATATCTCTGTCCCAACAAACAAACATGCGCACATGCTTTACCTTGTTTATACTCTGGGTATGACCCTCAAATTAAATTAAATTTGACATTTGACTATTTGATGCTACACTTTTCATTTTTATGATAACACAGAAATGTAAATTTCACTCTCATTTTTTTACTGGTCCTTCTTGATTTAACTGCAGCCTTTGGCTTTGACACCTCGATCATGCCATTCACTTCACAGACTGCATGACTGGTTTGGCATTTCCGGTAGAGCCTTAAGCTGGTTTCAATTGTATTTGAGTAACAGGTCTTTCAAAGTCTGTATCGATAATCACATTCCTCCTCTGCTCCTCTGCTTTGTGGAGTTCCCCCTGGTTTTGTCCTTGGACCAATCCCTTTTTGTTTATATGCTGCCACCGGGTAATATTTTCAGCCAGTTTCACGATGTCTCACTGCTATTCCGATGATACTCAAATCTGTTTTTCTGCAAAAGCAAATAGCCTACCTTCATGTAACTCCTAAACCCTTTCTTGTGCGTAGTTTGTTTCTGTGTTTTCCTGATTTTTATTTTGCCCTGTTTGTAATTGGGATTTATTTATGTACATTTCCTCTCCTTATGATTTGTCTGATTGCTTTTATTTGTGAAGCACTTTGGGACTGAGTGTTTTAAAAGTGCTGTATGAATAACGTTTTACTTACTTACTTTGTATTGCTTATTTACAAGGCTGACTATTCTTATAATTTATATTTTTCTATAACTTAGAGAAGACTTACCCTGGTCTGTCTGCCTCTGTAGCTTATTTGTCTCATGGTTGTTCACACAAATGTTGTTGTTGTTCAGCCGTGTTTCAGTTGACCTAGATATTTGTTTTAAAAGGTGGATGATAGTCAGTAAGGTAGGCCTTTAAGATAATGGTCTAGAAAATAACATTTCATAGTGAACAAAGAAGAATCATACCCATTCTCATCTTCTGACACCTTGTCAGTTGCTTTTGCTTTGTTCTTCTCTTTGTTTTTGTCTTTTCTTGACAGTGTCCTTTTGAAGTTTTGGATAATACCTCCCTTTTCCTTTTCGTGAACGTTTTCCTTTATTTTCAAAATGCAGAAATAGAGCATAGATATGAGATAATGTGTAAGCATGACATAATGAAACTGCAGACTGATTAATGTGTGTGTGGTACCTCAGAACTCTCCTTGTCTTTCTTGAGCACAAAACGTCCTTCTCTGTCGTCCGTGGTCCAGTGTAGTTGTACAACCAAAGGCTTTTCATCCAGATCCAGTTTACGTTCTTATTACAACACAGAACATTAGTTTGATTAATGTTTTATTATTTGTTAAGTGCAAATTCATAACAAATGTTTTCTCAAGACACTTCACAAAACGAGCAGGTATAGACCTTACTCTTTCTATTATTATTTACAAAGACCCAATATGAATCCATCATGAGCTAGCAGGGTACACACCACATGATAATTTGATGATTCTCTACTTCCAACCATATTGGAAAAGCAAAGCAAAGGCCCGATTATCTGATGGTTCCAAGATTTTCCTGTGACGTAAAGATTGATTTTACCCTCCCTGATCTGCTCGGAAGACAATTGTGGCTGCCCCAAGAGATGTAAACATGTTTAACATTTACAATCAGAAATCCTGTTGTTTAAGGAGAACACCAAGGACAGCCGAGCAGTGGTTTGTCAGTGGATGGTAGGAAGCAAGCTGACTGAAGCAAGAAGCACAACAAACACATTCATCGCGACGACAGCAAACACAAAGCAGCATAAAGTTGGATATAATAATACTAATAGTAATTTTGAGTGTTAATTGCATGTCTTGCGGAACTGTCTTTACATTTCACTGCACATCTGTATGAGCATGTGACAAATAAAAATCTTGAATCTTGAATCTTGGCTGGATGTCAGAAATGGAGAACCAACTTGCTGATTTGTGGCAAAAACATGTGTATTTATACAATGACAGGAGTCCAAAAACCAACATCATTCATTCTTCCTGCTCAACATTTTTTTTTTTTACTCTTATGTGGCGTTTGACCATGTGAGATGAGAGTTTTGAGAGTCGAGACTTTGGTTGTCGGTGAATGAATTTCCTTTATCTCAAAGTCAATTGTTTAAAGTTTAAGATCAGAAGTCTGAAAAAGGCCTTGTGGTTAACAAAGGCTTAAGAGATTTTCACATCACGTTCAAAAGTAAAACAAGGGGGGCATTAACCTTGCTCCAGAATTTTGAAGCTTTAAATGTGACGGAAAAAAAAGGGTTTTGCAAATAAGCGGCTAAATAAAACCACAGAGGTTGGAACATAAAGCTCATTAGGCTGTTAGTTGTTTACCAAGTCGGTAGCTCTGTGGAGGTAAAGCTGAAGTCATGCTACTGTACTGCTGTGTAGTCTGCTTAAAGCCTTACATAAGCTTTTACTTCTAGTGACAGCATTGACAGTATTCCTCTGATAGAAAGGAGGAATAATGAATCTTTTGTTTGTCTTTTAACCTTTTTTTTTTTTTAAGGAACCAGGTTATGCAAAGTCCCAGGGTACGCCACCATGTGGAGATCTATTTCTCCTTTTTCATCCAGAATCTTAAAGCTTTATTACTTCTCTGGACACATGAGTGGAGGGATTACCTTTACTTGCTTGGATCTCATACAGGGAATAACTTGTTGTCAGCATCTTCATATCAGGCCTGAATTTCTCTGAAAGTGTTTCGATGACCTCGTGAGTTGCAGAGCTGCTGCAAACACGCAGGCACTTTGTGGCCACGTTTCCTCCAAGATGATCCTCAAAGTAGAAGCGCATCACACCATGAAACTCCAAGTTCTGCTGAAAAAACTGTTTTATTACTTTGTACTGCGTTAAAACTTGGGATTGATAGGCTTTCGTTCCACAATACACGTCTAAAAACCTGTGTTTTACATTTGCATGAAGGTCAGGGGACTAATAAAACCATTACCAACTGATTGGCCAGAATTGAAGAAACAGAGGTTAAAATATCATAGCTTTTAGTCTCTGAAGAGGTTGAGGCACCAAAAATACTGGATCCTACATTTCCATAATAATTTGGTGCCCGACTTCACGTCATATCTGTCATTAACATGGCAGGCAAAAGATGTTTTGTTTATGGTAAGAAACTTTGATTAATTCATGTATTGCACATCATTTCTTTGCTCAAATGTAATTTGTAATAACCCATACTAGTTAGTACAGTTTTTAGTATGGTATTTAACCCTTCATAACAAGTCAGGCACATTAGCTAAAACAATATTTTAGTTTTTAGTTATATTAGCATTCAACCTTGAGTAAAAAGTCAGGTAGCGTTTAATCTGACTAAATAGCATTGTTAAATGCTTATAAATAAATCTTCTAAGTAATCTAGGCCACTATGTGAACAGCAACTAACATGAACTCCCCAGTCTGTCAGCCAGTCTGGGACAAATAACTCTAAAGCTTCAATATTCCGACTTTCAGAATTGAAAGCAAGTGAACACACTGAAGTCGGATGAATGAATTCCTGACTCAGAAACTGGGACCATCCTAGGAGCACCTGAATGCAGCATAAATGTATGATATTGAAAAAAAAAAGCCCTTATTAGTAACCCTCCATTTCCTTAACATACATGGTTCAACTCTAAAAACACATCTAAAGGTGCATCCAAAACTTTGGCATAGATAGTTATGCAGAAATAAAGGTGCACAGAATGTAGATGGTTTCTGAACCTTGTCTGATGTCTGCAGGCTACTCACCTCATCTGGTGGGCTTATTTCAAAAAGGTCCAGTCTGTTATTGTTCCATTGTCTGATAACTTGGGCTAGTTTCTCCCGTTTTTCCTCCTCCGGCATTTTTCACAAGGGACTTCAAAGTTTCTGTCTGCTAATTTGCTGTAGATGGGTTTTTTTCCCCAGAAAGAGACTGAGAGGAATATCCTGTGACAGAAAAGTTCTCGTCTGTATGGTATTGTATCCACTAGGACCCCACCCCTTTATCAATCTACTCCCCATTAGTTTTAAACTCATTGTACTGTGCAGTGAATTTTTTAAACATAATTGAATACTTCATCCCCTCTCTAAGCCCCCACACCCCTCTGCCCCTATTTAACGGGTCAGCAGATCTTTATTATGTGAGACAAACAGTTTCCTAATCGTATATCTGTTACAGGCAAATGATCCACCACCAAAATAGATCTGTCAATTTCTCTTTAATTGTTTCATGTCATTTCCATGAGCTAAAGTGCATTTGTGGATTTTTCATGAAGGGATTGAAATGCTAACCTATCATAGCTTTCTTTTATATAATAATTGAATCATGCTGCTGAGGTCATCACGTTGTGTTTATAGTGCACAGGAGTCTCAGACGTTTCCACATTCACCATGAGAGCTTTGCATCCTCTTTTTAGTAGCGACACTAACATTTATGCTGGTGGGAATTCCACTTCTCTCACCCAAGGTTCTCAACACAATTTATGGTTTCATGTATTCCCATTCAGTCAGCACCATCTATGTAGGGCAGCTTTTGTTGGCTGCTCCGAGGCTCTACTGGTAACACTACAATGGAACAAAAGCCTCGACAAAAACAACTCTTAATTAGATATACACTATAGCTTTAAAACTGCATAATCAGGGGTATTGTTGTCTGGATGTTGGAATTCAGATAAGTTGCCTTTTAGAAGGTGAAACTTTAATTTGAGAAAAAAGAAGAAGGATACAGCCCATAAGAACAATCATTTAAATTTGTATTTATGAAGAAAAAAATAAATCACAGCAGTCTGTCAATGTTACATAAGAAAATATACATTTCAAAACCACACCAGCTGTAGCTCAGTGGTAGAGTCCCTCGTCTCTCAAACCAAAGGATTCTATCTCACTTCCTTCAGCCACATGTCTTAATGTCCTTAGCTAAGACTAAACCCCAAAATTGCACCCAAGTTGCACAGTCAGCGTTGTGTGAATGCGTAAGAATTAGATTAGTAATACTGTTGGGCAGTTTACGTAGCAGCCTCTGCCGTCAGTGTGTGAATGTGGTGTCAATGGGTGAGTGTGACATTTAGTGTAAAAGCATCTTTGAGTCGTCTCTAGAAGACTAGAAAGGTGCAATGCACTTGTATACACGTCCATATGTATGTGGGTCTTTATTAAAATTACTGTTTAAATCTTTTCAGAAACCCCTGAGTTATGGAAGAATGGTCTACAGGACTCCCTGTGTAATTTTTGTCATCAGAAGCACTCAGATAAGGTTGGCAACCTTTTAATTTCTCAAGTCATTTTGCAACGTTTGTTCGCTTTTCTATAGAAATATTTTTTTTTTCTAACTGTTGCTCCTGTCTCCTTTTGAAATTGAATATTGCCTAGAATATACTGAACAATATTACAATATTGTCAAACTCTTGTTCTAAGTTATGGTTGGTTATATTATATATTTAAATTAAAAAAGATTGAAGGATAAAAGAGAGAGAAACACCAAAATGATGTGAGGAATCTTTTTTTTAATTCAATATTTATTTTTGATGACATTGTTTCTCAAGCATTTCTATGGACCGTCAGAAAATATATTGGCTGGCGTATTTGTTGATTTTACTTGCCACTGGCAGATTAATTAAAAAGCTGATTCAGGATTGTGGTGCCAGCCAATGATGAGAACCATATAATATATCGTTGAATATCAGAAGACTTATCCTAGAGCTTCTCAATGGCAATTTTGTAGGGGTTCTCAATATGCTACATTGTTGCACTATTTGATGTGGATCCACAAAAAAGAAAAAGATAAAGACTATTTTTCTTCTAATTGAATTTAAATCAGTAAAAACTTATTGTAAATGTCTTATCGAGTAACAGACACATTGGTAGGAACAAACAAAAGAGACCAAAAACAACAAAACCTTATTTTACAATACATAAGTTTCTGATTTTTTATGAACTATTACACCATTAGATCAACATAACACAAGGTCTTCAATCTAGATATAAATAAACCTAATTTCAGCACTGGATATTAACATTTTGAGGGTGACGCTGCAAAGTAAGAGTTCTTTCTTCAATCAATTTCTTGACACCTCACGTGTTGCATCCTTTAACAGTGCAATTCTCTAGTTAACACCTTCTCAGTATATCACATATATATATATATAACACTCGCATTATATTTTGAATACAACACGTGTAGAGGTAATCCAGTAATGATCCAGCTGTTCAAGGCCTCAGTCAAATAATCATACCGTTTTTCTCTGTGACCTTTGACTTGCCTTTCCCCCTGTCAGAAACACAAAAACACAAAAAGCGGCATTAAAGAATAAAGTATGAGCCGTTCTGCTACACCTGCATAGTTTTACATTTAGGTTTAAAAACATGTCAGAATGTGCCACCTAACCTGCCACCTTCCCCCCTACTTGCAACATTTTCCTGTTGTGTCAGAAACACCTTATCACTTGATTTGTTTTTCACCTTTTCTTTCTTCAGACTTCAAAATTATGATCATTTTTGTTGCTGTATCTTGTTGGTTTCAGCCAATCTCTGCACCTATCTGCTATTGTCTGACAACAATATTGCCCTTGGGAGCAACGTCAGGTTTTACTTATAATGTAGCCAGTTTTTCTTGGAATAAAGTATCACAGGAAAATCAAGACAAGACTTTCTTCCTTGTGCACTTCATAGGCCAAAAAAGCAACGTTTATTGATTAATTATTTTTGAGTCTATGCCCATTGCACTTAAATACAGAAACCTGTTTAATAGAGAGTTATAAGAGGCTAATTGGAAGTCAGACAGTAACTGATGGATTCCATTATGGCTGATGCTGCATCCACTCAATGCATAGCCTGTGCCCATACAGTAGAAATTTGAGTATTTAAAACTACTACATTGGAATCCAGAATGCTTCCAAAAACTTTTCCTCCACCAAAAAAAACTGTTTTCATATGAAATCTGTATAAAGAGTTTAGTTTTTCTTCCTATTGTTGTTTTCTAAACTTTTTTTCTATTCGATTTACCCTCTTAGATTCTCCACATCCTCAATGGTTTCTGGCAGGGCGACTCCTCTCATCTCAGGCAACATTGTCACCAATCCACTGTAGAGCACCGACATCACACCTGAAACAATGAGACATGACTATATAAGAAAGCAAAAGCATCTCAAATTGGTAAGGAGCAATTTTTCTCTAAGTATGTATTACTTAAGAGTTCTGAGAGTGTGCCTAGAGTGTACCGTAAAGAAAAAGAGGCAGCTCCTGCCAGATACTGGACAGTCTGTAGAGCAAAAATGGGGCTACAATTGCTCCAAAGTCACTCGCTGATGAACACACTGACACTCCCAGATTTCTGTTGGAAATGTAAAAGTCATTACAAAATCGAGTGAGATATGCATTATATAAACTTTGTTTCTTTATAAAGAGACATGGTGTTTACATTTATAGAGATCATGTCAGCCAAAGTTGCAGAAAGATCTAATAATACCATGTAGTCTTAAGGCCTGCTTTGTGTTAGTCTGAGGGATGTTCCAAGCAATTAATTTCCCTGTCTCTTGAATTAAATTCAGAGTGTGGCTAACACTCGGCACATGCCTGAGCTGGTTATGCATTGTTCCGTTTGTTTAGTTATATGCCAGTTTGACCTGACACAGCCTAAATACAACTTCATCTACATTTTCTAGAACAAAATAGTTCCAAACTCCTCCACACTGTGAGATACCATCTGTCATATTTGCTGGTTTACATCTGTGTTGTAGAGCATTACTGCAATATGGCAGTAGCCAACAACCGAAGCTACAGCATCAGCTATTTATTTATGGTTTATATGTTAGGTACAGATACAATATACAAAGACGATTTGAAAACAGCCCTCCATACATGTACTGTAGTGTTTCAGCAGATGCTAATTTGCAACACCCGTCCCTAGAAGGGCTTTTGTTTGAAAAGAAGATTAAAACAGGCTAGTAGCGACCATTTAATTGTTTGGATGACTTACCATCCACATTCCTAGTCTGATGTAAAATTGTTTACACATTATTTAAACTCACCTAAGAGGCGTTGGATACATCTCTGTGTTTGCAAAGTTCAATGTCTCACATCCAATGGCAACAGCAAGCCTCCCAGCGATTACAATACCTTTTCTTAAGAAGGCAAAATCTGTTGTGGACACAAATCAGGAAAGAAAAGGGACCCAAGAAGCAACAACATTACCGACCAAGACCTTAAATTTCCTGCAGCTGTTTTGACTTTTCACAGCCTGTCACTGGACTGTCAGTTTAACGTACCTCGGGAGATGAAGGGGACAGCCAGGCAAGCGACTCCACCAATGAGGTTGGTGATGGCCATGAGGGAGCGGCGACCAACTCTATCAACCAGTAGGTAGAAGATGAGGCCAGTCGGAAGTTCAACCACAGCAGAGATGAAGAAATCCAAGAAGAGGTTGTCCCCTGTGATCCCCAGACGCAGGACCAGGCCTTGAAACACAATAGTACTAGTAAACCTGGATGAGGAAATGATCAAATAAAAATCTTATTTTAAAACTACTTTCACATATGCTGGCCTGTATTACATGAACAAAGGATATGATACAGAATTAAACCTACTCACCAGGCATAAGTTAAAATTAGTGTGTTTTTTCTAATACTTGGTGTCCTGAACAAATCCCTCACTGACACAGGATTTACTGCTTTCTTTTCCTCCAGAAGTATTATCTGAAAAATGTATTATAGTTGACAGATTCGAAAATTGACATTTCCCGACTTTTCTTTGACCAAAATGACAATTTCAAATATTAAACTGTGTTTTTCACAATCTTGTCATACCTCTGGAAGATTAGGTGGTAAAGATCTCCCGTTGTATTTTGCAATATTTGAAGCAACTCTCATGGCCTCTGTGGTTCTTTTTTGTGAAAACAGCCAGCGTGGAGACTCAGGAACAATCCTTAAAGACATACACATCTGTGTTGGACTTATTATAGCCATGCAAATAAATTAAATGGTCATATATTAAGCAAACCCTGTATGTATACCAATAGTATGAGATAAACAGAATGCAGGGCACACTCATGACCAGCTGCAGCATCTTCCAGGACGACATGAAGTAAGCCAGACCAGGCATGATGACCATGCCAGCAGAGTAGAAAGTACGATTCATCATGGACACAAATTTCCTGTTGTTGGACCCGAAGAACTCAATGACTGTACCAGAAAAGATTAATGACTTAGCAGACAGCATAATATCTCACATATGTATTATATTTTTAAATCACAGATTATCAACACAGGCAGGGTATAATGTTTAAGGCATTTCAGGCAAAAGAACTGATACTAATAAACAGTGCAACATTTTGAACTCTTTGTGAACAATTATTGTGGAACATTTTTCTCATAAAGGCGACTTGGTTGAGCTTGAGCAAATTAAGTTAGAATGCTCAACAAGAGGTGGTGGCTCACATGTACCTGGGTATTGAAGTTTGGGGGAATCCTGATCTAGACCCAGTCTCATGTCAAAATGTATAATACCTATGTTGTTCCACAGCGCAAAACGTAGTAGTTTCACAATAAGGGCTCTAAAATTGTGACATGCCTACGTTTCCTTTTGCCTATTCTTTTGTATAGGCATACCTCAGGTCACGTGACTGCCCAGTTTTCCCCTTGCGAAAAAAAAATCCCTTCTATTTTTGCCGGAAAATGCAATATTTTAAGATAGTTTGAGGCTTAAGTGTCGTTTCGCCTTTCTGGCGACAAATGTACATTGTATCTTCATAATCTTCGTTCGGTTTGTGTTTATGATCTTTAGTTTGTTTGTTTCTGCAAAGATTCTTTCAGGTCTCGCTAGAAAAACGTTGGGATATTACGTTTTCTACTGTTGCTATGGTGGTAGCTATGGACGCTACCAACAATGAACCGGCAGGAAGTGGACGTTCAGTTTCGGGTTGTCTATGCATGAGTCATGAAGCATGACATCAATGTTGTGTTTACTTGTTAAGCTATGTGTTTCCGATTCCTGTGTTAAGTGGGTCTGGTTAACTGGTGGTTTCCTTGGAAATGAAAGCAACTTCACCAAACTGCACACATGTATTACATTTTCTCCCTCAAAAGTCTTGTATCATACCAAGCACATAAACGGCTGTCCAGGATCCCTTTCCAAAAAATCCTTGCAGAAATCGAAAGGTGAGCAGCAGCGGGTACCATGGTGACAACACGACCCCTACACCCGAGATACCAAGGCCAAGCATTGATGCAATTAAACATGGCTTCCTACCAAACCTGTGAAAGACAAAGATCATCATCGTTTTGACTATTGTAAAGACCAATTTTTGTTACGGTAATCGTCAATTAAAACTGTGAGGGGGAACAAATATTTGTAGCAGACCTGTCAGCCAAGTATCCAGTGACAAAAGCTCCAATGAAAAAACCAAATGCAAGGAAAACTTGATTTAGATCAGCAAGCCAAGATCTCTCGCAGACCAATGAGAACTAGAAGAGAAAAAAAGAAAGAAAGAAACAAATCTTGGATAGATTTTGAGGTAATTATGGTTATAGTAATAAACAATTTGTAAACTGGTATAAAAAAATAACATACTTTTATTAAAATAAAAGGCAAATATTGCTCTTTTTTTTTCCATAAGACAGCTTTGCTCATGAAAACAATGTTACATCACATCACAGAAGTTTGGAATAACATTAGTTTCCTTTCCTTAAAGTAATCCCTCAAATGATGAAATCATATGCAAAAGCATCAAAGGAGGACATTTTGTAGTTTATGTACCTAGAAATTATCTGTTGACAATTTACAATAGCAGGTACATCCTCCTATATCAAAATTCTTACTCTTGTTTATAACATAGGAAGGGACAAAAATAAAAGGAACCCACCTCAGAAACAATAGTGCTGTGGCTTTTATCAAACGTCCATCTGCTGCAATGCTCCAACTGGGTTTCATTTGAATTCAGAGGCCAGTTTGGATCATTACATTTGTTTGGACTTTTGTTCCAGTCCACATTAAACCTCTCACACCGGCTAAAGGTCCCTGACTGCTCAGAGCGGGGAACGGTGACTTCCCTCACCTCAAGATCTGTCCAGCCACATTCCTCCTGGAGGTGCTCAGATTGAGGAATCCAACACCAGTGATCTGGTGTGTACCCTAAGAAAACAACCCCGACAAGTACAAAAGCAAAGAGTATCAACGGTAATGAACCCAGCGTAACAATCTTCTTCTGGAACGGGCCAAAGTCTCCTATGTACTCAAAGAGTTTGTCTACATTTGCCATCTGAGGTGATTAACTAATGTTTGGCATGCGATGCTTCTGGGTATAACAGCTCACTCTGAAAATAGGAGGAGACGCATCCTTTAAGAGACAAGTGATGCGTCAGTGTTGATATCAGAGTCTTCCTTTCTTTCTCATTATTGAGTTTACTAGTCATCTTTTCAAGGAAAATGAAGAGCAAGTTAATCAGTCCAGACTAAGGAATGTACAGTATGGGCCCTTTAATCTCCACGGTCCCTTTACTTTCATGTTCCCCTCACTATTATTGTGCAAATCATGAGAAAGAAATTTACCTTTGTCCGGATTGGTAAATATATGGAGACAGGTGAATCAATATATGTGTTATGCTAATACTGTTGTAGCAAACGTGAAATGTAGAACTAGTGCTACAAGCCTGGCCTGGGATGGTGTTAAACTCCAGTCTGAATTAGTATGTCTGTCTCCCCCCGCCCAAAGGACTCTGGTTTGGTAACAGGAGCTCACAGACATATAGACATATCCACTTTGGGTCAGTAGTCAAAATATAGCTTAAAGTAAACATTAACCTTGACTGTAGCATTTCAGAGAAACAAGATACACTGTAATCCAGGTTATTGAGCTATTGAGTAAGGTTAAACATAGACATTTTTCTAAAATATTCAGTCATTGGTTGACTTTTGCAGTGCAGTGTTCTGTCAAAGTGGTGATATGCAAAAGAAATTCTGCAGTGTCATGCATGTAAAGAGCATGTATTCAGTCCTGTCAGGGTTGAGAACCAGTTTCAGATTAAACAAAAAAAGTTTTTATTGATTGATCGAATGCTTGCTGGAAGATTTCCATGGCTGAATATGCAGCGTTAGCAAAGCAGTACAGAACTGTATCATCAACATAAAGATGGGTGTTACAATTTGTGATAGCAGAAGTAATATTGTTGACATACATTGTAAATAAATAAGGACCCAGTATTGAACCTTGTGGAACCCCTTCTGACAATGGCAAACCCACAGAATGATTATCACCTCAAACACACATTGCTGTCTCTTGTATAACATATATAAGTGAAAGACAAACAGTGGGATTAGCTCCAACGCCAGATTGATTTGGACCCAAGATAGGACTACAGAGTAATGATTTGAGCTGATACTTATCTAATGTTTCTAAGACCTTATCCACACACAATAGTTTTGAAATGGGCCAATAGTTATTGAAATTTGTTTTATCCACACCCTTATGCAGTGGGACTATATGAGCGTTCTTCTAGACCTGAGGAATAACCCCAGTAGAAATGGAAAGATTCAATAGATATGTATTTTGCTCAGCTATCATTAAAATGCTTGTGTTAAATTTAATTGAATCCACAATTTATTTGAAATGGGATAATACATTTTGTTTAAGAAGGAAGACTTTATTTGCTAATTATGTTCTCCTAAATTTGACCAGTGTTGTTCATTAAGGAGTGTTATATTTTTATTGTCCAGATAAAATTTCCTCCACTGAGGGTCTGTCTATGGGACTCTGACAGCAGTAAGAGAACAGCACCCTCCCATGTTCGTCCACAACAAAGTCGCCTCCCAGCTGAAAAACACAGAGGAAGCAAAATCATTAAAGGACCATATGAGGACGTTATCTTTAGAGACAGTATAACATAAAAAAAAAACCTTTATATCTGAACTTAGATGTCTGTTTTCCCTCACTTACAAAGATAGATGAATGCATTGCTTATCATAACACTGACAGAGTGCCTGTGCATGTGTGCATGCATGTTCGCGTAAGTGCTTGCAGCTGCAGCAGGAAAGAAGATTGAGGAGAGGGCATCACACTGGCCTTTATCACATATCTCCTGACCTGATCTTATTTTACATTTGGTAAAATAAGATTAAATGTTCGGCAGGCCAGGAAATAAAGGGGGATACTTTGCAGAGGGCAAACAGCAGGAGCACAAGGCCCTTTTTTTTTTGTCTGTGTGCACATGCCTGTTAACTGTTGTAGTAATCAGTGCTTAAACACCACTTTTTCTGCTTCTTCCTTCTAAAATGTTCTTGTTTGAACATGAAGCAGCGAGCATCCTTTTACCTGAAACATGTCATCTTGAATGGAGGGAAGGCCTCTTGGAAATTCCATGTTGTCCACCACATATTCAGCATAGAGCAGCATGTTACTGAAGCTCAACACTTTCTTCAACGATGCTCCAAGGCCGAATGCTGTGTACATCTGCAAGCTCAACAGAGTAGTGAAGTGTCAAGTCAGATTGTCACAATACCTGATACCCGGTACTAAAATAAAAATGATAATCAATAAATCTTTCTGTTAAAGTGATGCACTATTATTTGACATATCTCAGTTGTAGGCATGAGCCTTCACAATAAACACATTGCAATTAATAAGAAAACTGTTTCATGTAAACCAGCACAGCTTTTTCACTCAGGACGTAGCAAATTTACCCATTGGATGAAGGCCATGCTTTCAAACTATTGTTGACACAATAAGATGTAGCTCAGGCCAGTTATTAGCTAATGAGCTACCCTCAGACTAATTCAAAATCATTTAGTTGTGGAAAAAATTCTTCTTGGAATTATTTTTTGATTGAGGAGGAACCTGTTTCAAACACAAGCATCGTGTAAAAGAGGAAGAACATAGAAACTGAGTGAAAGCTAAAATGTTTATCTTTGTTTATCGTCACAGAAAAGTAACAACATGTTAAAAGTATTAGTATCATTAAAAAAATAAAGGTGCTACTAAAATAAAAAAATAATTCCTATCAATTATCGATAATAAGCCCTGGGTCCAAAGTTGGGGCCTCTAAAAAACTTGCTATCTGACATTTATTTTTTAGTCTCTCACCTCTTTGATGTCTGTTTGACCGAAAGTGGAGCTGAGCGTATGTCTGTAATCTTTAAGGATCTTATTAAGGTATCAAAGAGTCAGACAACCTAATTATGAAGTGCGCATTCTGTATTATCATTGTGTGTTGATGACCTCTGACCTTTCTGTCAGAATCCAAAAGCATGTCGTACTGACAGCCGGTCTCCTTCAGCCAGTGAGAAGCTCCCTCCTGACAGCCAAATGAAATGACCAACACTTGAATTGAGTGTGAATCCAGGGAGCGCTGAAAAAAAGGCATATACAGTGACAATTTAGATTCATATCAGATTGTATTTTACAACTGTTGTGATAGAAGGGTGATAAAAGCATCATAAAGAGTGGTCTAGTTCATGGATGTCATGACCCTTTAGTGATTAAACGCTTCTGTTCTCCTGGCTGTATTAAACAGAGAACGAAACAACAATAATCACTTCTAGATCCATCCCTCAAAACTGACGTGTTCTCTAGCTTTCAAAGAAAGAATTTGATCAGTAACGTTTCAGGTTTCTCTTTCTGATAATACTGAACTTATTAACTTCACTGTTATCAGTCTGCAAACGGAGAGAAATCATTTACCCATGATCAGTTGATTATGAACCAATGTTCTGAAAGAGCACTTGTAAATCAATTTTACAAGTGATGGAGAAAACATGTAAAAGATTATCATTTACAGCATAGCATATAAAAAATGGCTTATCTTTTTTATCTGATAAAATTCTTTAAACACTTTTAAGTTTTCAATTTTTCAATCATACCAAACATCTCTCCACTAAATAAACTGTAAAAGCACACTAGTAGTCTTTGTATGTATACAGGAGGAAATGTCACTGAAGTCACTGTAATGATTTTACTCCGGGAATTGTAAAAATGCACACAATGTGTTTTCATAAGATTGCATGATTGTTTTATTTCTTTATACTGAGGCCTGAAATATCTGTTTCAAATGAAAATTAAATAGTCTAGAAACATCATAGAGCATCAAACATCTGTTTTTTATGCAAGAACAAACATGAATTTTCAAATATATTTTCAATATGTTGGCATAATACTGGCACTGGTATGGCTTCAATCTGAATGTGTAGACTTAAAGCCTTTGTCTTTGTTTTATCTATAAAACATGAAGTACTGTTTTTAATATTAAGTCTCCAGTCTTGTTTACCTGATGTTTCTCCAGCTCTTTCAGATGGAGACGGCACAGTAGACAGGAGAACTGACGGATCAACACCAGCAGGATCTTTTGACCTCTCCCAAAATATTTCTCTAATGTCACTTTTCTACAAAATAAAGTACAATTCTTCTGTGCAAAATAAGTGACAACAACACAATAGTTTTGGCAGGACAGAACAAAAACATAAAGCATTACTCTCATTTTGTGCCCACTTTTTAGGAATTAAAACAATACATTAGTGACAGGGATTTCAACAAATATGTGAAGGACATTAGAAAAAATTAATTCCTGCCCCTTTTGCATGAAACGAGGTAATTAACAAGGTAATTAACCCTTTGAGACCAAGATCTCTTTCATAGGTTAGACCTGGTCAATAGGGCAGCAGCACAGGTCATAATAAAGATTACATGATTAAGAAAGAGTTTACAAACAATAAGTTAAGAGCAACTACAATTAAAATGTGCTGATTGGTTCACAGATAAAGTGCAGAAGTTGTGATCACAGATTACAATTCAAAAACAGAGGCACTGTCACGTTCTCTGTCATTAAAGGTAGAGCAAAAGGCTTATATCATTATTATTATAATTGGCAGCCAAGTGTCAATGTTGTAGTTCTGTCTAATTTAAACTTGCACTGTGTTGAGTTTGAATTCATAACAAGAATGATTACATAATAAGACAAAAATTCATCCCACATACTCTCCTGTTCTGGCGTCGATTAGAGATGTATCAGGTGAAATACATTTGATCTGCTTGGTATCATCCAGTGTTTGAGCAGCTAGCTGTAACTCATCATCCAAATGTTGCAGAAAGGCATCCCACTGCACCTGCACTATATCAGCCACAGTCAGTAAAGACTCAACACTCAGACAGAAATGTTTTTTTTTTTTTTAATATCCGATAATAATTTATGAACTCACTTCTAATTCCCGAAAGTCCTGCAAAGCACCCTGCAGAGTTGCACGGCTGGAGAAGCAATAAAAAAGATCTTTTAAAATATGGTTTCAGTTTGTTGGCACTGTTATTTTATGATGGAAAGATATGAATGCACGTGAAGATTTTCTTTTTAAATATTTGGAGTCACTAGGTTGATTTTTACTAAATCAGGATGTCAATTACAATAGTTCTAGCAGCCTGAGTGAGTCCAGATTGTTTAATGATTTTTATCATAATTCAGAGGATAAAATTATTCAAATAACCTCAACAACAAAAAAAACCTTTGAAACGTCATTTTTGGATGAGCCGGGCTAACTTACCATCAGAAAATTAATTCAACTTCAACAAAGCAGAGCTCAGTGATTGACTTACTATCAGCGAGTAACCAAGAAAAGTTTATCATAATTAGTCTGCTTAAACTCGAGAATGTTTTGTGTCATGTTAGGAAAACCCAAAAGTTATTACATTTGTAATTTCGTCTTACGTTAATGAATTGGTTTCAAAATTGGATTGGTTAAATAATTTCAGCTCATTAGGTCTTACTGAGTGCTTTTTCTCCACAGGTCCTCTGCATCCTTTTTCCTTTGAACACACAAACTGACAATAGAAACATAAAACAGAAGCTAACAGTTTATCTCTATGAGTCGCAGAGCTCAAAGTTGAATCTGTGTAGCTGTACAATAAGCTCATGAAGTCATATTATGTGTTGTGCTCATAACCTTCTGTACAAAACTGCACCAGCTTCAATCAGACCCAGCAGTGACTGTTGTTGCTCTATGCGGATTTTCTGCCTGATGAATTCCTGTAGTGAGCCTGAGTTAGGAAAAGTAAATGAAGTTAGCGTGTAACAGTGTGTTGCGTTTATTCTTTATGTCTAATGACTGACAGGCCGCCTGCAGCCCCTCGACTCAGGGTCAGACCTATAAAACCACATGCCAACTGTCCAACGTGGTATCTGCATGACTATTTTTATGTGCACTTGTCTGGCATAAAAAGCTTCCTACCTTCACTGCTCTCCTTCTTGGCGAGGTCCAGCAGAGCTTTTCCGTCTTCAACAAAAGCCGTGAGAGCTTTTGAACAAGATGCTGCAGTGGCGTCTGCTCTAAAAGCCATTTTCTGCTTCGGTGTGGTTCTCGGTTTGTTTCGTGAGATTATATCAAATGTTATCCGTTCACTAGAGTACGACAAGCTTGACTCCCTCTCAAAGTCCACTTTGGGTTTATGTGCAAATAGCAGATTTGCTGTTGAAGCTCAGTTTAAAGGGTTGTTCCCCCTAACACTACACGTGAAGTCCAGTTAAGAAGGAGACAGTTTGTGAGAATGATTGTGTAGTTTGTTCTTCGAGCTTAGTCAGTGAATTCTTTTCATTACCCATTTTACTTTATGTAGGTTGACTCCTCTTTTGCCACTTAAAATCTGACCAATATGTATCTTGGGTTGTAGAAATAACATCTTGATTAGTACAAAAATACTGGGTTGAGATACATTTAGGCATACTAGCTTGCACTAGCATGCAAAATACAGTATGACCATCAATAGTTGTTCCTTGCAGCATAAGGCGGTATAAATTAAAGCAGCTCAATCAAAGAGGAAAACTGAAGATGCTGGATACGATGAAACTTCCAGTAGTTGCACTTGATCTGCACAGATAAGGGGGCGAGGAGAATTGGCTCCTTTATGACAGTAATGCTCATGCAACAAGCTACAATATTATCGCACCATCTAGATACTACAGTAACCATGAGCCTCTGCTGCGTATTATATAGAGAGACGACTGTCAGATGCAAAAATGTCAAATTATTTTGGGTCAAGATGTGAAGAGAAATTCTGTCTAGGGTCCAAATTGGGGGTCTAAATTGGGATTGGATGTCTCTTGCTGAAATACAGCTTAGGAATAAAAGTTAATTTATCAGGTTTTTTTTAAACTAAATCTTGTACATTTGACTGTTTATAGAACAACCAGAAATGTGCTGATACAATTGTTAATATTTGTATTGATTATGAATCAGGAAGGTTTTAGGCCAGTCAGCCGTGTGAGAGGGCCACATATCATTTTTTCTATGTGGAAAATTCAAGAGCCGGGCTGATAATGGATTTTAGAGCAGAATATTGATACATATTAAAAAAAGGGGAACAAATCCATTTATTAATAATATGGCAGCTGAATTCGTTACTCATATTGGAATGTAAACAGAGCTTCTTCATTTGGATTGCACACTGATTGTTTAATGTTATGACCCTTCAAAGGCACTGAGAAGATTGCTTTCTTAAACATATAGCCTTATTAAAGAAAAGGGAACCTCATCATACATTGTCAACCAACTGCAGTGCAGATCACTGTTAGCGTTGCTGTCATGCTGCTGTTATAATGCTGAGAGGAAAGGAAGCCTGGGAGACACACTGCTTCATAACACCATTGCTGAATCACACCAAGGATTGCTTTCTGATTTATATCTGCTTTATCAAATTTCTGTCCGACAAACATCCTGGTAAGGCTCAAAAACTTTAGGGAATTTTCAAATACTGTAAATGGGCATGTAAGATAACTTCTTGCCATTTGCCACTCTGTAAGTCTAAATGTTAGACATAGGAAAGGATATAAATGTTCTTAACTTTCTTTAACTTTGGGTCCATGTGTTAAAAAAGCTTTGAATTGTTAAGTGTTTTTTGGCAGCTTTTTGCAGAGACTTAAATTAACCTTCTCTTAAATCTTTACACATGAGGAGCAGACACTGAGCACAAAGCCAGCATTTTTCTTTTTATTGCTAAGAATCTCACATGAATTATATTTGCTTTTTTCACAGCAGTCGCAGCATTAATCAACGGACTCCATTTCCAGATCCCTTTGATCTTGGAATTTGTCCTCCTCGACCTTCGGAAGGTGTTCGCCGTTGCTCTCCTCTATGTGATGCTCCTCTGGCTCCTGGGCGCCCTCAGAGAGTCCTTGTGATTGGCTGGCTAGTGTTTCTGTCGGTACAACATGAGAGATGGTGAAAGAACTGGCGATCTCTTTCAGGTGGGCCTGCTCGGACTTGAGTTTAGCCAGTTCCTTGTTGAGCGGAGATTCAACTGTTTGTTTCCCAGCAGTGGTCGCAGGTTCAGGTTCAGGGGTTTCAGCTTTCTGGGCGGGTTGGTCATCCTTTGGGTCTTTCGGGGTCTCCAGCACCTCAGGGCACTCTTTCTCTGTTGGTTCAGTAGTGCTGCTGTCCAGTTGGCTTCCGGCTCCCTGCACCTTCTCATATAGACTTTTCCTCTCCTCTTGCAAAGCCCTGCATAGATTCTCAAGCTTCTGGTTCTTGGAAGTGACAAGCTCGAACTCCTTTTCCTTGATTGCTTTCTTTAAAGAGTAATGGAAAACAGCGTTAAATGAAGGAAGTCAATCAGTAATGAAATAACCAAAAGCCTCATTTAGACATAGCCACAAAAACTCCTGAAAACTTCCAAAATGTGTGGGATGAGCTGCTTGTGTACAGGCACATTTTTCACTCCGACTTAACAATAATTTGTGCAATATCTGCGAGCTACATAGTAAACTTAAAAATGTAAGAACGCAGCGGGAAATATTCAGGAAAATTCACAAGGAGGGGGTGATTAAGTTGTTATTCTGCGACCGAGGAAATCTCTCAACTGCTTCATTATGTTTTGATATCTTGAATTTGTCGAACTATAAGTAGCATTAATATTCCTTGCTTTCTTTTTTACGTCATGTCTCCTGAGACTCTCTCCTCCCTCCTGTCCGACAGGGCTAGTCTCAGGAAGACTTCAGGGGCAGCCGGCCTGAAGTTTCTAGAAATTTTCAGGAGTGCGTGTGTATATATGACTAAACGCTTTCGTATTCCGAACAACATCTCTTACATCTGACACCATGTCAACAAGACTCTTGTTGCAGCCATCAAAGCGAGTCTTCCAAGACTGACACTCCTTCTCCAGCTTTTTCATTTTCTTGGCCATCTACAACACAAACACACACACACACACACAACACAAAAAAAATCACGTTACACAATGCACATTCAAAACCAAGTTTAAAAATAGCTCCCGCAGTACAGTGCAGGATTGTACAGCTTGTCATTGTTGGTGTTAATCTCATGGGATTTGTCTCTCTTATGACTGTATTTATTATGTTTTTTTTCAGATAAACAAAGTAATTCAACCATAACCAAGAAGCTGATATCAAACATTCAGTGAAGCAGCTCTCACTTTGTCCATATCCTGTTTGAAGCCGCTGTAGACACTGTTGCTCTTTGATACCGTGCCCTGGATCTCATCAAACTTCCTTGAGTACATATCGAGCTGAGGAGAAATAATAGAAGAATATTATACAAGTCTCCAGAGAGGTAAAAAAAAACCCATGTTGCTGTGTTACTGTACCTGGGTCCTCATATCACTCTCTTGTCCCCTCAGGGCTTTCAGTTGAGTTTTATACTCCACAGCCTGTTTTAGCATCTGTGGAATAATGAAATGTTCAGTAACAATGAGCATCAGGGGAATAGAACAGCAAATAGGATGTGCTTTTATCAATCGACAAATCTTATAAACAAAATACATACAAGCTCTTTCTCCAGCTTGTGCCTCTCCTCGGCCTCCTTCAGCATCATGTTTGCCTGCGTGAGTTTGGTTTCCAACAGCTTCTCTTTCAGGTCTCTGTGTTTGAAAACCTTTTCCAGGTTCTGGAAGACAATCAGGAGAATTTACGAGTCGTTTTCACACCCAAAGCTGTTTCGTTTCTCGCTCAGGGCGCCTTGGCCACATAAAACAAATACAGCAGCTCATAAATGTAAGAATGGGTGAAATGTGCAAATAATTCATGGGCTTGAAGCTGGCAGATGTTACGAGACTTTACATAAGAACAGTTCAGGTGGTGTCAGGGAGGTTTGCATGTTGTAGATTGTGGTATGTATAACTTTGTGTATGTGTTTGGCAGGGTCAGTACCGACTCTCGCTGGTCGTACTGTGAAATGAGCCCCTTCAGTTTCTCTGCCAGAGAGCTGTTCTCCTGACACAGTTTGGTGTTTCGGCTGCTGTGTTCCTCGATTTGGGCCTGTATGTCACTCAGCGTCCCCTGGAAGTGGGTTGTGATCTCTTTCCTCTTCAGGTCATCCTCTCTGCACCTCTGGAGGGTCTCTTCCTGCAGGTCGGATATAGACAGATATAACCTTTTTATCTATGTGCTACGAAACCAGGGGCATCTTCAGCTTTTTCACTTGTTTCAGGAAGAGTGCATTGCTTAACTTTACTCTCAATGTGGAACTGTGGATGCACCCATTGTTTCTGAAAGTTTTCTGTGGTTTCATATTACCCGTCTACTTAAGTACTGGCCCAAATAGAAGCCATTCCAAGGGTGTGAAGTAATAAGAAAACTGTTAGTTTAGAAATACAAATAATAAATCTAGAGTGCCTGTAAGTGCACACCAGGGAGCTAAATTCTAAAAGTGTGAAGTTATTTGAGCTGCCGCTAACAATACAGTTCATTGTCCATTTATTTATTTATCATCTTTTTTGAATAATGAATACGTTTACTTGGACATTCTTTTTTCAGTAAGTGGTTAAAAAAAAGACCATAAAAGTTCCCTAAAGCCTTAGGTGATTTTGTCAATAACCCAAATAAACCCAAAGTTGCTCAAGTTTCTTTATCAATTTACCTGCTGATAGTTTTTGAGTTTAGTGTTGTTTTTCTCACATAACTTCCAAAAGCGAAGGTGATTTCAGGTTGCTCATTTTGTCAGATCCATAACTGGAAGATATTCCAATTTCTGACACATTATTCAAAGAAGAGAAGTAAACCCTCACAGATGAGAACTCTGAAACGGTGTTATGTCTCTTTAACTCGTAATAAGTAGTTACAAACTGTCAAGTCAAACAATCTATTTGAAATTGGATTTCCAAATTAAGTGGAAGTATCACAAAGAGCTGAATGTTCAATATGTGATTAAACAGTGAACAGACAAAAAAGTTCTATCCTGCAAACAACAGAATGACAAAAAGAGCCAGTTCACAAACTAATAAAGAGAAAATCATTTACAAGCCCGAGGGGGAATATGATATTCTAAGACGGTGTCGGTGACCTTGTGGTTGGTTTGCATGCCCACTGTACAGAAGCGGTTTTCCTCTAAGCGGGAGGTCCAGGGTTTGAATCAGACCTGTGGCTTCTTTCCTGCATGCCAGTCCACTATCTCTCTCCCTGATTTCTGACTATATCCACTGTCCTGCCTCTCAAATGAAAGCATAAAAAGCCACAAAAATATACCCTACTAGACTTCTCTAGATCTTTAAATATATTGAAGATTTTTCTTCCTTTTTCCCAAAAATCAATCTATTGCTCATTGGCCACTGACTTAATAAACCATTAGACCCCTTCACTAAATTACGAATGAAATCTGCTTTTTTGAATGTCTTTGCAGCACGAGATGTGGGTGGGGCGGTTTAAGAGGTCATAGCCTTAGCTCTGACATAATGGTTGATCTCTGGTGTCAGCTGATGTCACCTCCTGTTGGGCACAACATATGGTAACAACAGCCGGCCCACACCAAAAAACAACAAACGGCAAATGTTGATTTCAGCAGATTAGAAACCATCCTTGTAAGAGATTAAGCTGAAGTACCTTCAAGGTCTTGTTGTGCCTTTGCAGCTCTCGGCAGAGCCCTTCCAGTTTACTGCGTGCTAACACGGCGCGGCTGTGCTCGCTCTGCAGCTGATCCTTCTCCTTCATCACTTGGAGCAACTTCTTCTGCAGGAATTTAAGCTGCTTCTGATCACTCCGATGCTCCTCCAACTGCAAAGACACAGAAAAATCCACCATGTGCCCATAAGGGTAGAGATGTCACTATTATTGCAATTAGAGCGTTTGCATTGAAACATTGCAGAAGTCTGAATTTTTTTGCTAAAAATGATTTTGGTAAACAAGCAGTGCTCACTGAGCATGCACACATTTTGATTGTCAGATGGACAGCTGGGCATGATGTTTGTTCTTTCACACCATTTTGATGCAGTCAGATGAAGCTTGAGCACGCTATCAGCTATCCTCAGATTCATTTAGTGGTGAAACAAATATTGCTTTTTGTTTTTAATTTCAAATTTGGGAGAAACAATTTGCACTGTAAAAACAAAAACATTAAGAAAATTGGATACACATAACTAACTAATATTTCTCCATTTACGGCACTTTATATCATTATCGCAATCCAGAACAATGTTATCACATATCGCAGGTTTTTCTCATATCACAAAGGCCTAGCAGAGATACAAATCACTTGTATTTTCTCTCTTCTCAAATTTCAAATTCCTTGTTATCGTCCACTCACCAGCTCAGCGTGCTTCTTGATGATGGCTTCCAGTTTCTGTTCTGGAGTGTTGAGTTTGTTCAAGCTTTGCATCAGCAGCATGGCTTCCTTCCCTGAATAGCCGCAGTGAAATTCACGTCAGTCAAGTCAGGTTTGAGCTTGATTTAATTTAAATGGCCCAGAGCACAAAGTGACTGAGATTAACTCACAATGATATACTGTACTGTATTTACTGTGTCAAAAAAAAAAGAGGTTAAATTATTCATCATCTGATAGATACACAAGTCATTTTTAGGAATCCTTCTCCAGGATTACAAGAAGTCCATCACTATAAAAGGAATGTGGAAATACTATTTTACCTTCTCGTCTTTTGCAGATGGATGCACTTACACGCATTTCAGCTCTGCTTACACACCTATCAGTTTCAGTACTACTTGGACTTTAGCTGACTGAGCTGAATGAAACCCATTTCAGCTCAAATCAATAAAGACATTTTGAGGAGACAAAAAAACCCACAAATACCCAGGTTTTTGAGCATCTTCTTCTCCAGTTTCTGGTCCTTGCGGGAGTCTGTCTCTTTGACGGCTGTGACCTCCTCCGTGTCCTCTGGCTCAGCGGGAATCTCTGCATCCTGGTAGGTGCTAATGATGTCCTCCAGCTGCTGGGCCAGGTCTTCTGTCAGGTCAATGTGGTGACCCTGGGCTGGCGATGCCTCAGGACCAATGGGTGCAGGGATGCTCTCCTGACAAGCCTCCATTATTCTGAGCGAGCACTGAGAGGAAAGCAGTTTGGTTCTGTAATCAATTTGATGCTTTTCTCACCCTGGCCCAAGCGATTGCTCTCTCATAATAAACACTGATCTGTTTTCTTATGTCCTCTCAATATTAAATAAAAACAGTTAGCAAGCACAAAAGGAAAGACACTTGGAACTAGAAATATCAGTACAGGAATATGTCACTGTCTTGACTTGTTTGATAAAATTATAGTATTGCTGTTGCCACATATCGGTATTAAAAATGTAAAAACATTTACGGCACTCTGTACAGATTTCCCTGACAATTTCACGACGCCACTACATCCTGAGTCCTCACAGTGCTTATGACATGAATGAGGGTAACATGAATGGTCAAAGAAGAAGCTGAAAGCGAGATGATGAAATTCAGAGAAGAAGCAGTGAACAAATATCTAAATCCTGCACTTTGTATTAGAGGCATTATGATTCTTCAGTCAATCAGATATCGTGGTGTATCATTATATGTTTGTCTTTAGTCAACATTAGTCACTTAATCTCCCTCTGTTGGACCAACCAGTGTTTATCTTATCAATGTCACCTTTAAGTTGTTAATTGAAGAGGGATTAGCTCATTTTTGTCTAAAAGAAAAGCAACGCAACGGGCTGTTTCACATCAGAGATTGTCACTTTTAATAGTAGGGAAAGCACGCATAAAAATAATGATGTGAAAAGTGCCTGAGTAAGCCTGCGACAGTGTAACATTTTACAATTTACACCTATGTTTTTCCTACTGTAAAGACGGCACTGTAACTGATACATCTGCCAATTAATGAATGAATAGAAAGATATCAACATTGGTTGCAAGTGTTTGCTTGGAAAATTGGAAAAAACTGTTGCTTAAAGTGTAAGACTTTACATTTTAACTCTTTTACTTGCAGAATTAATGTTTTTTTCTGTAATCCAGAATATTTTTGGTGTTTGGATTATTTTACTAAAGCAGTGTTCGATACCTGACCTTGATTTTTTAAAAGGAATTGTTCACTTCTTTAATATTTTTAGTCCAAACAATAAGTCAATCAATCAGGAAACTAATCACACATTTTATAAACTATAGAAATTTCCATCGATCACTCTAAAGCAGCACCAACATGGGGTCTTTGAGGCACTTCAAACACTGGTTTATTCTCTACTGAAGGAGCCCAATGAGATACTTTAGTTGTTGCTGCTGTAGACATTGAGTTTTTCATCTTTGACAATGTCCAGTTGAAGAAAAAAATCTTGCCTTTTTAGAAGAAAAAATGAATCATCCCTGTTCAATTTAGGTGACAGAAAAGCATATTATTGTACCACACTGAGTAAGTAATATGGTGCCTTAGTGCCTGTCCTTGTTGTGTTATACAGGCTCAAAGCCAGAGCCTGTTTACGTGCATAAAATTAGTGCAGCCTTCACACTGCCTGAGCTTTCACAAGCAGAGCACATGGCACCTGTTCCAGAGCCCACAGGCTATTTTAAGAACTTCTTTATATGGGCAAGTTATTTATTTATTTCTAATCCACTCTTATTGATGTCAATGTCATCGGTTGTGCATTCAAAAGCTGCATTTACAACTATTAAAATATCAGCGTTACATAAGTGACCCCTACTATATTCAATATTTCCAAAGCAGGCAGAGATCCAAATGGAAATTCAACTGAAAATACATGACAGATAGAAAAGGCAGTATTGATATGTGCAGAGTGAGGGTGAAAAAGGACGTCTAAGCCTTCACAAATGAATCTCTTCTCTTAGTCACACAGGCAACACTCAGATGATTGAACTCATTCTCCTTTTTAACAAAGTTTTAGAAAGTAATTCAATTCAAGCAGTTATTAGTAAAAAAATTTAGTGTAAGAAGAAGTTTGGAAACCATCACATCATTTAAAGGTTATTTCTCTGCTATTGGAGAGTAAATGTTCCTGAAGAAGCAGGATAGTGAGCAAACAGGGTCTTACCAGGACCAAGGGCCAGAGAGGGAAAAGGAAGAGTGTCGAGGGGCTTGGACAGGCTGCCACCACAGATACAACAGCTGTGATAAGAGCACCTCAAAATAGACCAGAGGAGCACGGCTCACTCTCAGCAGAGAGAGGGAGGACAGAGATACTGTGTGTGTCTCTGTCTCTGTCCAGGACCCCTCACCCACTAAACCACAGTCGCCTGATTGTAATCTAAAAAGCAAAAGACCTCGGAGTTTAACATGAAGTAACAGTTTGAGGGCAATCTAAATGTTTCGTCATCCAAAGGTTTTTCTGTTTAGATCTTATGCAGTGGTTTTATGCGATGCCTCTGCTGCTTTAAACCAATGCAGCACTAATTTTATTTTAAGCTGGGATGCTGTTAACAGCCATATAATTATTCTAACAAATGGGCCTGACAGGCCGAGTCACTGAGCAGCAGAGAAAATTAACTGTCCCTTTGATTGGCCAGAATTAGAACAGACCTCCTCCCCAAGAGAAGCTCACAGTCGTGCCCCTGCTTTATGTATGCCTGTAACACCTTCAGTACTCAAGGTGGAGAACACGTTTTGTGCTGCCGGAACACGCTGCTGGTTTGCTGAATTTGATGCATCCTGAAAATGTATGAATATTATCCACAAGGTGAGAGCTATTTTTGAAGTGTTCATTTATTTTTTTTTTGTTCTTGTTCCATGTTATGACTGCAGTAATCATTTTTCACCAGAGGGTGTCACTGGTAGGAGTTGCTGCAATTTTTCACTCTAGAGATAGTTTTCCCTCCAAAGCCCCCCCTCCAGATAAAAAGTGAAGGATTTGTTCTGAAAGCCCCTCCTGTTAGTGCTCCAATTTAAACAATCATGGAAGGTATGCAAGTCATTTTGAATAACAACGTCGAGAACGTGAAATAAGCTGCAACACACATCCTTGGGTCAGACTCAGAAGTATATTCTTTTGAAACAACTTTGAATTTAATTTGAAAAAGTAGAGCACCAAACAATAAAGTCCTCATAGCATAAAAGAGGCACTCCGTCTCGACTCGCCGGTTTTTGATGCAAATAGCTAAACACAAATTGGCTACTGAGGTTTTCCCTCCTCAAAAGAATTTAGCTGAGAGGTAAAAATGATTCGTCCTCTGTGTGTTTTACAGGGAATTTCATAGACATGAGAGGCACAATGCAGTTCAGTCATTATGAATATGCAATAAAAACAAAACACAATCTGTATACATACTGTATGCAAAAGCAAATAGAAGGCTTCACTTTTCCCTTCACATTTCGTGAGCACTCTGCATCTTTACCACGACAAACAAAATGACATTACCATGAAATCAAAAAGCTACATACATCTTCAGAAAGGGAAACAAATTAAAGCAGTGCACCTTTGAATTTTTTTTTTTTTATGTAAACATGAGTGAACAAAGTGTTTTCTGATTTTGAAATTCATTCTCAAACTGGTGACATAACCACTTGGAGAAGTGATGTGAATACACTTTTTTTTTCTTTTCTTTTTTTTTTTTTAAAGATGTGACACACTGTTAGGGATCAACACTGTGCTATTTTCGCCTCTCATTACACTTCCATTACGTCAACTGCAGGCATTTCACCCCTTAAAGAGATATAAACAATCTGCTTTAAAAAGTTTTCAGAATTAACACTGCAAAAATAGTTTAAATAATACAAATACACATATATTTACAAAGAAGAAGTAATGCATTTGGTGAATGATTACTTACAATTTGGGTTGAGCCACAGGTAAAGTCAACCAACTCACGCTGTTAACATCATTACTTTAGCATTACTAACAGTAAGTGATATTGATTTATCCAGTTACACTTTGAATGCAAGAAAACACACACTTTCGTCTGATCATCATAGCCCCTTGAAATAGTGTGCAACATGTTTCACAAAATGAGAAACGTGGAAAAAAAAACAAAAAAACAACTGGAATGTTTCAAAACCACGAGAGAACGTAACATGTTTTACTCCCCCCTGTTTCCACTTGACCATGTCAGTGAAAACATCAAAGATGAAAGGATGAAAGTGCATCGTCAAAACTCATAAAATGCTTCTGGTCATCTGTATCTGAGAGGGAAAGAAAGCTGTTTAATAAAAAGCATAAATACATGAGATCAAAAGCAATGCCAGCGTGGCTCACTGCATAACTGCATCACTGCTGCATAAGTACAGATATACCATATAAATAGTAGTCAAATATTTACCAGTATCAATAAGTGCTCACGTTCTAATATATAAATACATTTTACAGTATTCATAATTACATATTAACTTCCTCTATTTTTTGTGCAATAGCAAATCCCATGCATTTTTTATACCAAGATAAAAACCACAACATTAAGAGAAATGCAACGAAGGATACATTATTTAAGATTGTTTCACATAAATGAAGCTGCAACCGTCTGTCAGCAGAACTGGCAGAAAAAAAAAACAACAAAAAAGCTTTCCTTTTAAAGGTGTCTCTGACGCCGCAGACACTTCTGAATAAAGAATACCTCGACATGTTTCTCCTTGTTCAACAACAACCTTCTGATAACAGATCCATGAAAAGCAAAAGTAAAGGCACAAACCCTTGCCGCTTGATTAAAAGCACCAAACTGCACAAGAAGCATCTACTTAAAATTTGGTCAGACTGTTTTATAGTACACATCCTTTCCCCCCTTATAAATAGTCTTTATTTACTGCGCTACTGCATCACATCTTGATATGATTACGTTAAACAACAGTCTATTTTTCAAAGTACACGTACAGTAAAATACACTGTTTGTATGCATCTAAGAAGGAGTATATGTTAAGGACATTTGTACAGAATCCATAAATATAATTTATGTGCAATTGTACGCAAACTACATCAAACAAAGGCATATTAGCATAATATCTTTCCATATTGCACCTGCACCCAATAATGATTTCCCCCCCTCCCAAGACATCCTGCTGCTCGTCCAATCATTTGAAAGAGTCTCTGAAGAGAAGAGCACATCAGACAGGTAAGGTTTCTTCTTCACTCTGAAGGTTTGATGTCAACCCAGATGTAAAAGGAGCTGTCTGGAGTGTGTTCAAGACCAGAGGAAGTGTTGTTATATTGCCTCTAATGGGATAAAGATGGAGTTATATGCCTAAAGGGCAGAGGACAACAAGGTTGCAGATGTGGCAGAGAGGCGTCTGTTCCTGTGTCGAATCAAAAAGACACAAAAAGAGGTTTCAATGAGGGTCCTCTGTAGTAATCTTTAACGAGGCGATGGCTTTCAAGCAGGTCTGGACGTTCTCCTCCTGTCCACTGTCCCTGCTGCTGGGGTTGAAGGCTTTCTCCTGAGCGGCCTGTTCGGGGGACAGCTGGTTCTGGCTTCTGATGTCTTCTCCTCCGCTCTCGAGCCCCTGGACAGATCCCTCCCTGCTGCTGCAACGCTGGCCCTCGCTGCTCTGGGGGCTTGGCGCGGAGGAACTAGTGACATCAGTGCTGGACGAAGGCGGAGAGTGTAACATCTGGAGGCCTCCGACGGGAACAACGGGGAGCAAACTGTGGGCCTGCTGCTGGGAGTGAAGTGGGAGGTGGCTGAGGATGTTCTGGTGATGAGAACTGGCAGCAACAGGCAGACTGGAAGCCAAGCTGCTCCTTTGATCCTGAAAAGACATATTGGCAGCGTCAGGAGCAGCTTCAACATCGCTGAGATGATTTCTCATGGGTAAATATAACACAGTAAGCAAAATGCAGAGATGTGATGAACACAGCATTATTTAGGTCAACATTAAAAAGTTTCTACATCGCAGACCACCAATTAGATAGGGATTATTCATACTATTCAAACTTTTTCTACACAGACAAAACTTTATGCTTTTTGATGTTTTTTTAAAATATTTTCTCTTAATTACATTGGGTTGTATGCAGATCTTGTGAAATATGGGTAATTGGCATAATATGTTGTTGTGTTTTTGGTATGCTTTTGTTTGGGATTTTCTGTTTACATGTGTCTTGTTAGTTTCTACTGTTTTCATTTATTGACTAAGATAATGGCAGCACTTGGGAAGACACATTTTTCCCCAAGGGACAGTAAAGTGTATCGTATCTTAATTTATCGTACTTTTACAGGAGCTTCTGCGAAATTAATTGCAAGATTTTAACAATTTGTTACAACATAGTTGAACTTGGCTTATCATGGTACATACCATTTCCATATCAAAGCGTACTTGTTGTTGAGCCATTTCCATCTTTGCCTGGTGTCTGGTTTTATCGCTGATTCCTCTGTGTTGGTGTGAACCTCGGCGTGGGGAAACTGCCCTAAGCACAACTCTTTGCCGGCCTCTGATTGATGGCCTTCCAGCCAGCTCTGTTCCGGGAGACATGGGATGTTCAATTGATGCTGGGGAGAGGTGCTGAATGGGTGTCAAGCTGGGCGAACCTGGCCTAAGTGGGGAGGTATCCCATCTGGGAGAGGAGCGACCACGAGGGGAGATTTCTCGCCTCGGGGACGGGTAACGCAGACGTGAAGGGGAGGGCTCCCTGATCGGGGACTCCCAACCAGGAGACAGCAGACAAGAAGAATAGGGGTCGAATAGAAAGCTGGCATGGTCTGGAGACAGCATAGCCAGAGAGTCTTCATCCATGGACTTCTCTCTCTGGTCTGTTGCGAGGACAGGTCTATGGTCCATACCAGTCCGCATACCTGAGGACTGTTGGCGAACATCTGGGTCAGGCAGAGAGGTGAGGGAACAGCCATGAATAGCAGCAGTGGCTGTGACTGACAGAGAAGTAACTCCACATGGCTGAGGACTTGTGCTTCTTGAGCGCAACTTTGGAGTAGAGTCACCCTCGTATTCTTCATCCTCCTCATCGTCTTCGTCGATTTCATCAGCTTCTTCATCCATGCCGTCAGAGTCTTCCGCATCTGAGAACTGGTGTTTGGTTGTGATCACAACTTCTGACTTGGAATCTTCTTGGTTATCGTCAACTTCAGAGACAAACGCACCAGTTAAGTTAGATTTATCAGCTGTAATTCATGAATGTGCGAGAATATTATGTCAGTATCTTACCATGTTCCTGTATCTCTGTCTCATCCAATGTCACTGACACTCCCAGTTCAAGACATTTCTTCATGTGTGCTTTTGACTTCATGTGTTTAGTCAGGTTTCCTGTAAAAGGATGAAACAAGAAATACGTTCTGGATGTGCTTTTTAATTATAACATTACCACTCCTCTGGAAACCTGTGTCTATTATTTAAGGAGATATGTGCTGGCAAATTTCATTTTCTACCCCAAAGAGGATGGATCCGTTTTCAAAGAGCGAAAATCCTTTATCGAACTTGGGTTGCGCAACTAATCGTGGTTTTATCATTTTCGCAACATGAGCATTAGCAATGAACACATCGCAAAGTTCTGAGTTCATTCCAATACAAAAATTAAACACTTTTAAATTGTCGTCAAGCAATGCTTTCTCACTCAGCATGTGTACATTTTACAAGTTCTATGGAGGCCTGTGTATAATGGCCA